ACCAGCTGCAGGTCGTGCAGCCGGCTCACGGTGAAGGGGTGGAGGGGGGTCGGTTGGGTCCACGGGGCAGGGGCCCACCATACAGGCCTGATCCTGGGAGGTGCTTTGTGCCCTCTGCTTCCAGTTGCAGTCTGGCAGGATTTGGCCTGTTTTCAAGAAGGCTCAGCTCCCACTGAGAGCAAGGGCCGTCCACACGCTGCCCCCAATGCTGAGAGCATTGGTTGCGGTTTGGTGCTGAACGGTTTTTTGTTTTAATCCAGCCAGACATTTTCTTGAGGCACCAAGGCACAGAGCTCGGCAAGGGGACCCTCCCAAGCGCCATAATATTTTAGGAGGAGTCTCACCATGCCCAAAATTCTGCCCAGACAGGGCAACAAACTCATGCTGGTCATGCCCAAAGACTGGTGCTTGCAGCTCTCAGCCCTGGCATGGAATCTGCTTCCACCTCCCTGCAGGGCTAACTACGAAACATGACTTCAATTTTTTTCCAGGCACGGGGGAGCAGCAGGGGGAAGAGCTGAAGCTACAAGAATTCACAGAGGCTAATGCAAGGTGAAAGACCACAGGGTGTCCTGCCAATCCAGATAGAAAGATTTCTGAGGCTGCTGGCCCTGCTTGGCAGGCCGCCGTTAGAAAGAACTCTTCAAAAATAGAAGTGTGCTAATCTCAGGAACCTGCTGGAATTGTCAATGACATTAATGAAGTGTTTTAAAAGCGGAGCGAGCGCCTTGGCTTCTTGGGTTGTGCCATTCCTTGTAATTTTCCACAACAATCTAAGGGACGCCCAGGGCACAGCTCTCTGGAATGGAGTTCTGCTCTACAAGGGAATAGCAAAGACTAACGTCAGGTGCGCTCTTCGCCTGTGCAGGAAGCATGGCCCACAGCACTGCGCCCTGGAAATGGGAGGGGGAGGAGGGAAAGTGAGTGCGCTATATGGGGGTGGGAGTGGCAGAGTAGCCTAGCAGATAGGGAGACCTGTGTTTTCAAGAGACCTGGGCTGCTGGGTGACCGTAGGCAACTCACGTCCCTCCCTGTGCCTCAGTTTCCCCATCTGTACAGCAGGGTTAAAGATACTGGCCTTTGTATAAGAACTAGTTATTACTAATCCAAAAATGTCCCTTTCTCCTCCTCTTAGCACTGGATGAAATAAAGCCAGGCACAAGGTACTGACCTATTGGATGGAGGGGGAACATATTCATAACAAAACTACTGGTGGAATTGCTGTTCTCCTGCTCTCAGACAGATGGATATTTATGCAGCTGTTTTAAAGCAGTTAGAGAATGGGACAGGGAGTAAGAACGCCTGGGTTCCATTCCTTGACTCATTGTGACATCTACCAGACCTCCAGGTAACTCATAGTTACTCATGATTTGATGGGGCTTGTTTTATGCCAAAGTCGATGCACGATCTGTTAACACAAGCAAGGCTGTTGTTAACAGGACACAGATAAGGAATAGTCTTTACCATTGTTTTACTTTAACGGTTGTCCTCTCTGTTGTTTGTAGCTCAGAGCACAGCTTCATTCTCGCCAGTTTGGTCCTTTTCTATTTGGCAAACAGGGATATATTTTCTCGTCCCTGATGGAGCTTGAAATTAACGTTTTGGTTTTTGTTTGCAGCTGTCAGGGCGCAGGTTGGGTCCCATTTGATATTTGTTCCATCCTGTTACAGTGTCTACAAGTTCAAAGAGACATTCTCAAGTAATTTAGGCTCCAACTTTGACCTCAGCTGCTGGAGAATAGCACCTGGATTCATACTAGCCTAGATTAAAAAAAAAGTTAAGGTAGGATTCATACAAAAACAGCGTCTTCTGCTCAGTGCTCCCTCTGCTGACTCTGACAAGGCGATTCACAAACAGCACAAAGAAGGTGAGTGCACAGACGGGGTTATTTCAAACTCCTCTCAGAACTAGTGGGGAAAATTCAGTAATTAACTGATAAATGTGTATGATTCCGCAAGCAAGCGGTTAATACAAACACTGCCATAAAAAGAAGGGCGACTGTAAGTCCCTTACGTTGGCAGCAGACAATACAGCTTGAGCTCCTGACATGATTGGTCTAAATGAGGGGTGGCCAATGTGGGGCTCCGGCACGTGGTGCCCCTCCGGCCAATGAGGGGCACCACGTGTGGCTCTTCAGAAGTTAATATGTGGCTCCTTGTCCAGGCACCGACTCCGGGGCTGGCGCTCCAGGCGCCAACTTTCCAGTGTGCCGGGGGCTGCTCACTGCTCAGCCTCTGGCTCTGCCACAGACCCTGGCCCCGCTCAACCCCTTCCCCTCCCCTCCCCCTCCCCTGAGCCTGCAGTGCCCTCACTCCTCCCGCCTACCCTCCCAGAGCCTCCTGCATGCCACAAAACAGCTGTTCAGGAGGCTGGGGAGGGAGCAGGAGGCACTGATCAAAGGGGTGGGTGGGAGGCGCTGGGAGCACCGTCAGGGAGCTGATGGGGGGCTGCTGACATATTACTGGGGCTCTTTGACAATGTACATTGGTAAATTCTGGCTCCTTCTCAGGCTCTGGTTGGCCACTCCAATCTAAATGACTGGCTGAGATCACAATGGCTTGGTCACAGTAGTCGGACATCACCAAGCCTTCCTCCCTCTTCCAATGAAACTGAATCTGTGGATCATCAGCAAGGGATCTGAGCATTTCCGGGGCCAGATTTAACTGTGGGGGAAGGTGTTGGGCCAGTAATGTACATGTCAAAATCTAACCCAGCCCCAGCGGGTCTGTCCTCTCTCAAGGCATGTGAGTAACTGCTGGTAATGGGAATGGGTGTGAATGGAGAGGTGATTAAGATGCTGATGGTACATCTACACTTCAGCTGGGAGCCAGCCTGGGTCGACAGACTCATGCTAGCTTGGCTCGAGCTAGCACACTCAAAATAGCCACGTGAACATGGTGGCTCAGGGTACAGCTTGGGCTCTCAAGCATACCTGAGCTCCTAGGCTTCAGAGGCCAAGGTGCAGCCCAAGCTGCAGCACTCACACGGCTATTTTTAACGTGCTAGGTCAAGGCGCTTGCTTCCAGCCTTCAGTGCCAACATACCCCTAAGGTCCTGTTGCTGCGAGGAAACAGAAGACATGGCCTTGGAGCAAAAGTCTGCGGCTTCTTACAGATTCCCCAAGAGTCAATGGGCTTGGAGTAAGATCCTTGCAGAATGAACTGTGATTCTACACCCAGCTCCATTCCCCAACTGAAAACTCTGCTGTGAGGGCAATCTTCAGAGACTCTTCCCCCAGGAGGTATTTCCATGGGAAGCCTGGGTTATGATGAACAATAATGATCTGCCCTAGGTAAAAGCCCAGGCTGTCATACAGGTTGAATTTGCAGCGTGTAAAAAAGGTGAAAATGGCTGAGAACTGGACAAGTAACAAACTGCGAATCCCAGTGATGAGTCAGCCTGGTTATACTCTAAACAAAAAGCTCTCAGCCATGCTTGTAGCTGTTCCCATCTCTTCACCCTGTTTCAACAGACACACTAGGCATCAAAATGACACCCAGAGTGACAATCCTGGAATCTTATTATATAGGTTACTGTAGCACACAGGAGCCCTAATCCCAGACCAATACCCCCTTGTGTTATTTTAGTGCCTTTAGAAATGGACTCTGCCCACCACAGGTTTAAATCATGTTGCCCGTTCACAGGGAAGCATGGAAAGCCACATCAAAACCATCACAGAGATCCCTTTCTAAGGCTAGTCTTGGAAAAAGAAACCATTGGTCACGCTGGATGCTAGTGTGGGCCAGACTCCCCCAATACTCACCACCCCTTCCATCCCTGCAGTGGTTCCAGCAGTGTGTGCAATCTGTGATGTTATCGGTTTCATACAAAATCTCACCAAAGACGATTAGCAATATTAAGTGCTTAGGACTCCGCTTGTTCCAGCAGAAGTACTGCCTCTCGGGGAAAACCACCCGTAAAGAGAAGAAAATGCAAGTTCAGCCCTGCTTCTCTGGCCACTTTGCAGCAGTGACAAGGTGCTGTTTAGGTAGGATAGAAGGGCGAGGGTGTAAGAAAGCCGGCCCTCATGGTGATCAGGTGGGTCACACCTCTAGAAGAGTTCAACAGTGAAGCGTGTTACTGGGCTGATCAAAGAACCTAGAATGATTTCTAACTAGGGGTAACTTTTACATACTCTGTCGAGCCCCGCCTAAGTGAGGCGCTGGAGTTTGGCAGAGACAGGGGCCTTTCCCTATTGTAAACACTGAGGTACAGATTTATTGCAACAAATTAATACTTTTTACTTATGTTTATAAAATATTGCAGGCATTCAAACGTAAGTTAAACCTCACAAGATGCCCGACCCCCTTTAGGTTGCTATTATCCTCATTTTACCAAGGGACAAAACGGGCAATGCCTAAATACCTTTAAATATCCAGGCCTATGTGACTTGTCCATTGTCACGAAAGGAGACTGTGGTGGGGCTATGAACAGAACCCAGATCTCCTGACTCCCCGCGCAGTGCTTTAACCACTACACAATGCATCCTCTGAGCAGATGTGGCTTGGGGCACTTTATATCTAGAAAAGGTTTACCGAGTGCCATCGTTGGATTGGCTCAGACCTGGATTGTGCCAGATCAAGCTGGATTGTGCCAGTGGCTCAATTAGAATTTTGAGTATAGCACCTCTGACACATCACTGCTTAAAAAAAACAAAAAAACGAACGATCAAAGGAAGGTGCTTCCTGCAGGTACCCACAGTTGTGAGGCGACCATCTGCCCTTAGCATGAGGGAGCTTCATCTGTGCCTGCCGTGGGTCAGTTCCCCAACTCCACTGGCCATGGGCAACACAAACCATCCCCTCTAGGCCTATGCCAGCCTGGCTACCTCTCTACAGGTTAGCGGCAGGAACACTCCAACCCTGAGAGTCTCCCTAGAGTTTCCAGCCAACGATCCACTGGCCATTTGCAGTATTCACAGATTTGTTGCTTCTAAAGAAGCAGTACATGCCCACTCAACAGTTCCACTTCAGATCACTACTCTGCTTGACACACAACACTTACAGTAAAAACAAAAGTTTATTGAACAAAGTGTAGAAATTCACATGATAGCAAGCAGAAGTACTAAAAACATATGGTTACATATAAAATAAAATCATAACATGTTCTGGAACCTAGACACTTCCATGTCTTAGAAAGCAATGCTCACCCAAAGTCCTTGCACCGTTTTATAGCCAGGTTTGGCTGTGATCTTCCATTCATGAGACTAGTCACACCATTAGCTTGCCTCTTTGGTAAAAGATCTAGGGTGTCTGTTTGCACCCATAGATACATCAGAATTATTGACTGTCCTTATTCATAAGCCAGATGCCCCCCTGCTGGCTGTTTTTTCTTGTAGATTTCACAATCTCAATCAGCATTTGACTTAGTCTGTAAATCAGCATCCATTGTGAAGCACACAATACACAATAACCAGACAACTGTCTGGTGAGACGCCCTGCCTAAAAAGAACCTGTCCACGGCATGTCATCTCCTGGTTCCCTGCCTTTAAGATTTTAAGAACACAATTTCCAGTATGGATAAGTAACTCCTTAAATATTATCCGTGCAAACATTTTGAAACGATTATGGAGACCTGTCGGCTACTGCCTCTCAGTAGAGACTTTACATGTCACCCTTTGGTGAACTAATATGCCTATATCTGACCCAGGCGATCCCTGTGCAACCCTATACATCCTTTGTGCTCTCTGCTGGTTGGCACCAAGAAGTCCCTGGGTCACACCTCACTCCTCAAATTGATGCCGTAGGGCTCAGCCACTGGCTAACCTGTAGGCGTCGGCTCAGAACCTTGCCAGGACAGCAGTGGGATTTTCAAATGACCTACGAGCACAAGCCTCATTGATTTGCAATAGGATTTGTGCTCCAAACTCACTTTGGTGCTTTCAAAAATCCCACCCTAAAATGTCTTCCTGTTAAATAGATGCCTTCATGCCAAAGAATGTGCTAAAAGGTCTGGGCCACTTTCTGCTTTATCTTTTCCTGGTTGCTATTTCTTGATCTAGCTTGACCTCTCTGTTATGGAGATTGATGTCCAATACTGAAATCAGAATGACTACACCTACTACTTCCAGTCTGGCAGGGTTCAGAGGAACAGCCGTGTTAGTCTGTATTCGCAAAAAGAAAAGGAGTACTTGTGGCACCTTAGAGACTAACCAATTTATTTGAGCATGAGCTGGGTTATCAATACCTTCTCTCTGCCAACAAAAAATAACCCTAGCCCAGAGGACAGACAGACATTGATTAGAGCACAAAGATGCTGGCGAAGAAGCTGCAACAGAAGTAAAAAAGGAGGAAAGAACTGGGATGGGGTGGTTTTGCATGTTGGTTGAAAAGCTATTTATATTTAATTGGGCATCATGCCTCAGTGGCTGCCTCTGCTGTAAGGAAAAGTACCTGAGAAGCAATAAATAAAAAGTTTAAAGAGAATCTAAGTGCAAACATGGAGTTTTCCAACTCATTACTTCTGACAAAAATGATTAGGGATCTGGAACACATGACTTATGAGGAGAGGCTGAGGGAACTGGGATTGTTTAGCCTGCAGAAGAGAAGAATGAGGGGGGATTTGATAGCTGCTTTCAACTACCTGAGAGGTGGTTCCAGAGAGGATGGTTCTAGACTATTCTCAGTGGTAGAAGAGGACAGGACAAGGAGTAATGGTCTCAAGTTGCAGTGGGGGAGGTTTAGGTTGGATATTAGGAAAAACTTTTTCACTAGGAGGGTGGTGAAACACTGGAATGCGTTACCTAGGGAGGTGGTAGAATCTCCTTCCTTAGAAGTTTTTAAGGTCAGGCTTGACAAAGCCCTGGCTGGGATGATTTAATTGGGGATTGGTCCTGCTTTGAGCAGGGGGTTGGACTAGATGACCTCCTGAGGTCCCTTCCAACCCTGATATTCTATGATTCTATGACAGGGATTCGCTGCCAGTATTCTAGAGAGAACTTCCACTCTGCTGGTTTGTTAAATATGTGCTCCTTAACTTTGTTAGTCAAATGCCAGGGATTGTTTCTGTTTTACAAGTATGCAAATCCAAACTCTTCTCACTTTAGTTCACTGCTGCGTGATTATGAAGTACAATTTGTGTTTATCAAAATTACACAGTAGGCTTAGCCAGATACCTTACCAGGCTTCTCAATGGCATCTGGTCTCTGGAACAGCCATGAAGTATTTCTGGATAGAATAAGGCATACAAGATAACAAGAAAATCAATAGCACATAAAATCTGCAAACTGCTGGCTGCAATTTCAGAGGACGCTGTCAGTTTAAATATAATGTTTTCTTTTAAAAAGTCCTATCGTGTTTACTAACAACACCTGAAAGTATCAAAGGAACATTTATCTATGGGGAAAAAACCAAAAACAAAAAACCCCACCACGTCTATGTGAACATTTTGTATCGACTACTGTCACAAGTATATCTAAGATTACTGAAAGCGGTTAGAGAAAAAAACCCTCGTGACTCACAAGCAAAGCTACATTTTGAGGACATCTCCATAGAGCAACCCTTGTGCTGTTTAATGAGCTCTAATTCCATTCGCTCCCAATAGTAATTTTTTAATTTGTTCATTTTGTGCATTTGACAGCATTTTGTGCAGTCATTTCAATGTCTTTGCTGCTTGAGAGAAAACAATTTTTTTAAAAAACATGCCTCAAAAATTGGTAAAAGAATTTAGGGAGCGCGTGTTGTTTGGCAAACAGACTAGATTTCAAGTCGATGCTGCCCCCTTTAAAACTGGGTTTTTAAAACCTAAATTACTTTTAATTACATATGCTGATTGGTTTCTGTTTTCACTTCACTCAACTTGGACAATGAAAACAGATTGCGCCCGTTTTGCTCTTATTTGGGAGTGCCTGCATTCTAGTGGTTAGAGCACTGAATAGGAGTCAGGACAGAGATTCCATTTCTGGCTCTGCCATCATGTTGCTGTTTGACCTTTGGTGTGTCTCATACATCTGTGCCTCAGTTTACCCCTCTGGGAACTGAGGATAATACTTCCCTTCCTCACAGTGGGATCGTGAGAATTCATTAGTTAATATTTGGAAAGTGTTTGAACAGAAGCACTATATACAGTGAATGCTGTACAGTATTATAATCATCAGTCAATTTCACATGCTGCAAGAGAATGGTTACATCCAAAACATCAAATAGTTTCCCTGGAATTAAAAAAAAAAAATAAAATCCAAAATCTAAGCATAAATACTGACACATTTCTGTCACTTGGGTTTTATTTTATTTTTTTTTTAAAACAGAATTAAACGTTGGAGCCTTCTAGCAACCTAGCAGTGTCTCTAATGTGACTCGTGGCTAGGATTGTCTCAGTGGAGCTAGGAGTCAAATGGAAGACGTTGCTACGCCAGCGGAAGTGTATAAATGTAATACTCCTGTGTTTGGGAGCTGTGTGAAGAACACGGTGGGTTCTTGCAGCAAGACTTTGGCTATTCAGAAACCTTAGCCACAGGGTTAGCATTCGTCTCCTGGCTAGGACTGATTCTCAGCAGCAGGGCAATTACAGAGACACACACTGTGTGAAGAACTTATTCCATGTGAAACACTCATTTATTCAGCACAGAAATCCCCAAATAGAAAATATACAAACTCCAGGCTAAAATTAGTTTCTTATAAAAAATGCATCATTTTCACAGCATGCTGTCCGTTAGCACAGTGGCATTTAATAATGTGCATGCTTGAACTCCCTCTTCATATTCCACTAGCTGCTGCTTAGTCTCCTGCAGTAGGACAGGTTGCCCTGTACACTTCAGAGACCATGGCAAGTGGAAGACGCTGCCATATCCAGCACTCAGTATCCCTTCTGACTGACTGCAGAGGCAGAGCTTTCACTCCTGAGGCCCAAAGAATGGCTACTCGCCCATTGTGGGGGATCCCTTAGCCAACAATTACATTAAACATCCAAGAACAAGTGGCCCACACAAAATTTTGCTCTCCATGGGCCTGATCCCAAGAGACGCTGAAATTCTGATTAACATCCACAGCTACTAATCAAGTCAACAGTCACTGTGAATGCTCAGCACCTCTCAGGATAAGGGCCCTCATTAGTTACTTTTTAAAGGGCTTCCTCCCAGGGAAGGCTAAGAAACACCCAGATAGTTTCTAATGACTTGTCCCAAGAATACCAATTCCAATGGTCCCAGGAGTAGCTTTCTAGAGCCCTCCAACGTGACTCACAAGCAAAGCTACATTTTGAGGACATCTCCATAGAGCAACCCTTGTGCTGTTTAATGAGTTCTAATTCCATTCGCTTCCAATAGTAAGAATGGCATTTCCAGAGAGGAAATAACAATAGATCAGAAGGAAACAAACAACGCATTAGCTCTGCCCCTTCACAATTAGCCAAAACTAGAAATCAGGATAACTTCTTCCATGAACTGGGTGTCCATATCACAAAAACCACCATGCATCTAGGAGTGAATGGGCTCTCCATTCCCACCTGCTGCCCAGAGGTGGGCTTTGCAGGTATGAGGCATAGTAGTGGCAGTGGGAGGTGGAAGCAGGGTGCATTAAGTTTGCAGCAACACTTCAACTGCTGTGTGGACAAACAGAAGGCAGTCTCTACTGTACAAATGACAAGCATTAAAATCACATACGAAACTAAAGCCGCAAAAGAATCAGCTAAAAGCAGGTGCTTATCCCTAACAAAGACATTTGTACTGGTGCATTAAGACATAGCACAAGAGAAAGGGATAACACAATGCAGTCTATACCACTCTTCCCTTCATGTTACGGGGATGTCCTGTGGAATCATGAAGCTGGAAACAGCTGTTCATGGTCAACACACTGGGGTATGTGTGGGGAAGGTGGGATTTGAGGTGGGGGTGAAAGAGTTGAAACTACATTTTCAGAATCCCTATTTACAATTCCAGATCTATTTAGATGATAAATACAGTAAATATTAAATGATCCTCTTTCAGAAGAGCCTTTTATATCCACTCAGATATGAAGCCCAAAACTATTACCATAAATCCATGGGAGAAGGATGTGAGCGCTGTAAAACAATTTTGTGATGTATTCTTGTTATACTCATCCTTTAGTCTAAAATGTTCTTTGTTCTAATCTGAAGATGCTGCACAGAAGAACTTCAGTTAAACTGGGAGGAGAGTCTGTCCCTTTCCAAGATTGGCTGGTCTCTCTTCTCTCTGACACAGAGTACCTCAGTATCCCCTGTAGCAGTTTTGTGTCCTTCATGCCGTCAACCATCCATATCCGTGAATTTTCTCTTCCTGTAATTTTGCACCAGGCTGGAAGCTGTGATCTGAGAAGCCTGCCCCTTCTCCCAGCACTGAAAGTCATTCAGCCCTTTCTGACCAGCTCGAAACAACGCTCGTTCCAGTTCATCCAGCCGTGCCACCAGTGCAGAGGTGTCCTCGTTGTAGGCATTCTGGGAGGAGTCCATGATGCGACGGAAACGGCCAATAAATGTCTAAGGGAGAAAAGCAGAATTACTAAAGGCTAAGGGAGATTCTTCTTGAACTCAGGTGCTAGAGCCTTTGCTTAGGAGCTGAAAGATCCAGGGTTCTAGTCCCTATGTTGTCTGTATCTATGCAGTCAAGGATTTGTTCTGGGCTAGCACCTGTTGGTGGTGAACTCGATGTACTCAAGGATAAGCTTTACCTAACTGGGGTGGATGGAGGAGTATACAAAATCCTGGCTGGAAAATGTGTGTATCACTGGGTGGAATTCGATTGGTCAAGTGTGATTGTTGCCTTCTAGTTGCTGACCGAGCGGGGCTACTGAAACATAACTATAATTCCACCTCCATTCAAGTGGGAGAAGTCACTGGTTTTGGAGCACGGGGCCTTGCTCGGCTGCAGGCCATTAATCTGTAGTCATGCATTTGTTACTCTGAAACCTGTCATTAAGCGGCATTGTAACAGCCGTGTTAGTCTGTATTCGCAAAAAGAAAAGGAGTACTTGTGGCACCTTAGAGACTAACCAATTTATTTGAGCATAAGCTTTCGTGAGCTATAGCTCACTTCATCGGAAGTTGGCTGTAGCTCACGAAAGCTTATGCTCAAATAGATTGGTTAGTCTCTAAAGTGCCACAAGTACTCCTTTTCTTTTTGCGAATGCTGCTTAATGTTTTTCTTCTCAAAACTGAGCCAAATGAGACTCCCCTTTTTAAAGGCATTACTACTACTCCTGATTGCATTTACCAAACACAAACCTCCCTCTGCCCCCAAAGCACTTGGGATGCTGCTCAAACACTTTCACATTCAGTACAACTCAAAAACATACAATACATAAACAATACACTTAAAAAGCTAAACAAAGATGGGATCATTTAAAAGATTTTTTTCCCCTACCACTATGGGTAAAAACATATATATAATAAGGTACAAAGAAAGGCAAAGGGTTAAACTCTTGATAATCTTTGGAAATTGGGTTTAAGATTCCTTGGGAAACTATGCTTTTAGAAGCACCAGTCACAAAATGACTGGGTTTTATTTATTATTTCTAGTATACACATTTATTTGGCATCTAAAACTTTGGTATTTGGGTGCTCTACAAGCACCAAATAAAGACTTTCAAGCTCTCAGTGAGGTCTCTGTACTTTAGTCACACATTTCTTTGAACATTAGTTTATTTATGCCATGATATATAAAACACAACTCATTAACAAGGAGGAGGGACACTGTGGTGGGGCAGATCCTCACTCCAGTCAGGAAGGGGTTAGAGAGCTCTTCTAGGCACAATCAGCACCCAGCCCAGCACACCCAAAGCCTGTCAAGCCTGGAGATGAGTAGGTCCTTACAGGGGAGTATCCCTGCTCAGGGCAATGTGGCACTCGGAGGAAAGCGGAGCTCCCGGGGCTCATAGTGCAGGGGCTGCTTATGAACCTCTGCCAACTTGACCAGTAAAGGGACCATCTTTACTTTATTTTCTATTACAGTCTCAGGCACTCAGCCTGAGTCCCTCAGACACGCAGCCAGTTAAGACCCTGGACCCCCTCCACCCTCTTCACAGAGACTATTTAACTTTTGCCTTGCAGAGAACAATGGGGTGAGCCTGTACTGCAGGATTATTTTGTTTGCCTTTTTTGTTTTGGATGCTGTTATACCAAGGAGTGAGTGGGTGGGGGGAGCAGCGTCCCTCAGATATACAACCAGAGGACTAAACCCTGCACTCTGAACCAGAAAAATCGCAACACGTACAGCCAGAGATGATGTCTGGGACCACAGAGGTGCCCACTGTCACCCCAACAGGATGCCCCAGAGGTACAATCTCTGACAGATGCTTTGCATTTTCTGTTACTAAGAAGTGATGCATCAAAGTAGTTCCTCTTCTAGAAGTCATCATGTTCCTTGTACAAAACTCACAGGACCAAATTCGGCTCCTGGATGCATACATATGAATCTTACTGAATTTTCTGGGATCTGAATATGCACATCTGAGGTCAGAGGGCCTGATCTTGCAGTCCTTACTCAAGCTAGAATCATGTTTTTACATGTTGTTTACAGCAAAGTTGCAGGAAATATGGAGGAGGCAGCAGCAAAGAAAAAGGAAACCAAAGCTAACAAAGGAACTAGACTTGGTTCAAATACTTGCCTGCAGTATAGTCTGAGCTATCTCTGGATTCTCTGGATTGTCAAAATTCTGGAGCTGGGAGCCAAAGCCATAGTAGAATGGCCCCATTTTATGTAGGTCAACAACATTGGCATCAGCACTGAACACTGTCCGCCAGCCTTCCTTGTAAATCTTGGGCAGTTCCACTGAAAGTATCCTCCGTTTGTTGTCATACAACCCTTTTGCTAGCCACAATGGTATTTCCACCTTTGAACCCTGCATGCAAACAACAGAAACCCCCCCGCCCCCCCAAAATATAGGTAAATGAACTCCGATCATGATAACAAATAAACATGAGACTCGGATGAATACTGAAGATCCACATGAGAGTGATTTTATTTCAGTCTACAATAGTAGAAACTAATGTAAATCATAGACTTTTGGTTGTCACTGGCAATATCCATAGGCATAAAATTTTTGTGAGAACGGGTGCCAAAGTATGAGGCACAGAAAGACAGCTGCATGTGTAAGATGTATATATAAATAAAAAACAATATTGCAGTGTAAGGAAAGTTACAAGCAGAGTCCCCCTGATCCTGCAGACACTTTCATATATGTTCAACTTTGCTTATGTGATCCCCCCCCACTAGGATTCCTCCGGGAAGTAATTTTACACACAGAATTTATTTGCAGGGCATGGTCCCCAGACAATAACTAGAATTTAAACGAAACAGCTAACCAACAGTAACTACATTCTCTACCAAAAATTCTCACCTCACTACAATATTTAATGGGCATAACACTTTCAGGCCCTTAAAAAGATACCCTAGTCACAGTCATTGCTTTAGTGAATGCACTCTACAGGCTGAGGGCATGCTACAGTAAGAATTTTCTGATATTGGTTTGAAGAGATATTACCCTTTATTTTCACTATATAGCCCACCGATCTCAGATTAGAATCTGGGGTGGGGGTAAAATGTGCCCACCCAGAGCAGTTTGCAGCCCCCCCCCCCCAATCTGTAATGCAAAAATGCAGAGCCTAGCGCGATGTATCGCACCCAGGCCAAAGCTACACATGACAGAGGGTGAAATCATAGAAGACCAGGGTTGGGAGGGAGCTCAGGAGGTGTCTAGTCCCATCCCCCACTCAATCACCCCAGCCAGGGCTTTCTCAAGCCGGGCCTTACAAACCGCTCCCCGCAGAGAGCTCCACGCGGCCGCCACGGCAGCGAAGCACGCGAGCAACCCCGCACGCCACCACTCTGAGGCTGGAGACTGCATTTCCCAGCATGCCCCGCTCCAGGCTCACGCCCTGGCCCCGCGGGCAGACACAGAGCACAGCTCCCGGCCCGCCCGCCGGCTTGTCACGTGGCCGGGCCCGGGGGCTGCCGGGAGCTGTAGTCCCCGGCGGCGGGTTACCTCCGGGATGCCGTCGCTCTGGCCGGCCCCCGCGCCCTTGCCCAGCACGGCGGCCAGGCGGGGCAGGGCAGCCTCCACGCGGCCCGGTAGCTTCTCCTGGGACATCAGGATGTCTTCCAGCGACAGGAAATTCTCCTCAGGCCCCAGCCCGGGCCCCACTGGGAAATAGGCCTCGGACATGGCGGGGCGGCGGCGCGCTCCGACCCCGCGGCTCCCGCTCAGCCGCGGCCAGGCAGAAGCAGCCGCTGGGCCAGGAGAACGGACAACGCGCATGCGTCCCTTTCTCCCCACCCCGGAAGCCCCGCAGCAGCGCCAGGCGAGAGCAATCGAGGGGAGCGGGTGTGCGCGTGCGCACGTCGCACGCGGCCGGTCGCCTGGATGGGGGCCTGGGCCGCTGGGAGTTGCGAGGCCAACGGTGTTGCGCCCCGGCCCCGCCCGGCGTGGGGGGAAGCGCTGCTCCCCGACCCCGCCTGAGGTGGGGGGGGGGTCTCCTCCCCCGCGAGCGCGGCACCCCCCGCCCTGCCCGGTGGATCGTTGCCGGCGGCGCGAGCGGGCGGGGGCGCGCGCTGCCTCATGACTCGAGCGGGGCCGGCCGGTAACCGACAGCGCCGCGGCGTCGAGGCGCGGGGCCGGGGGCCAACGGGAGGCGGAGCATGTGAGGGTGAGGCCCCCCTGCTGTCAGGAGGGGGCTCGCAGGGGGGAGCGCACCTCGGACGGGGGCCCCCCTTAAACTCAGCGATGTGCCTGGGGGGGCCCCTCCCGAAACTCAGCGATGTGCCTGGGGGGCCCCCCCGATACTCAGCGATGTGCCTGGGGGGGCGACCCCCCATTCTCAGCGATGTGCCTGGGGGGGCGACCCCCCGGTACTCAGCGATGTGCTGCAAAGACACCACATGTAACAACTTTAATCCTAAACCACACGGGCCCCCTGCTCCCCACCCCCTGATCACCAGCTCTGCCCCTCCCATGCCCCCAGCCTGGCCCTGGGGACACCAGCCGCCCTCCGGGGATACCAGACCCCCCTGGCTCCTCCCAGTGCCCCCATCCCTTCCCCCTGCCTCCCTCCCCCCCCGCCCAGTGCAGACAGGCAGTTTGCATTCAGGTTGAATCCAGCCTTGATCCGGGACAGGTTGAGTCGTGATGTCATGAAATGTCCTCATGAGACAACACCACCCCCTGGCAGTGACGTAATAACATTGCCCTGGCGGGAGATCGTGTTCAACGCCAATAGCCCTGCACACAGGACCACCCCGGTGAAATCAGGACAGTCACATAAAAGCCTGGCCTCTTGGGAACCTCTCGCTCCGCTACAAAGGTGTGAAGAAGGGACCCGAGAATTACATGTTGCACCGAAGAGTTCATCGTGGCGTACAGACATGTAGGAAGACAGTCCCTGCCCCAAAGAAGTTACAGTTTGTTTAGATTTTTAAAATCTAGGGAGAAATTCTGGCAAAATTCTCATTGACTTTAAAGGGGCCAGATTTTCATCCCTAGGGAATTTAAATAAAAACTAAAAACATATGATTCAGAAGATTTAGACTGCTCTGTCTAATTTGGTGGAAGGCCTGTTCAGTGGAGCTGGTTGGCATGAGAACACACCTCCATCCCATAAACTGTACTGGCTTCCCTGATGCAAGTTATTTTTAGTTTAACATAAAGCCCTCTGGCCTAGAATCTCAAAGGTATGGAGACATTTCACTTCCATGGGAGTGCGGCGCCTAAATACCTTTGAGGATCTAGGCCTATGTGATTTGACATTTGTCTGGTTTAGAGTGTGGCCATCTCCTTTGTGATGGCTGAAATCAGCCTGAGTGTTTTTGCTGACTGTCTAAGATGTATGATCTTGATGCAGGCAGTTCTTGGTTGGAAGGTACCTGTTTGTGGAACTTTCTCATTCTGGCAGGTGTCAGATCATGAATTTGTTAGCCTTCAGCACGTTGTGCTAGGCTCATCTTTTCAGCTAAGCCTTTGCTGACTGGATCTAACCAGAGGCACTGGGACAGGTTCACACTGGTGCAACCCAAGTAGTGGGTTGCTGACAGCAGGAAGTCAGCCTGGAGAAGGGACAGTGGTACAAACCATCCTTGCCTCTCTTTCCTTCCCTATCAGAACCCTAGGGGAGAGCACCTATGCTATCACAACTGCCTGTATTTGAGGTTTGAATCTCTTCTTCAGTGCAGCCACTCTGACAGGCACAGGGGAGCTGCAAATTGCACCCCATTATGCCCAAGGGGTGAATCTGGCCCTAGCCACAAACTGCCTGAAGACCACAGTGAGTATGAACTTGATCTGTGTGGTTAGGTATTCCTTTTTTTCTTTGAAGTGGGAATATGGGTTATCCTGCTTAATAAGGGACATGGTGAAAATCCAGGCAAATTAATATCTGTGCTAAGTAGGTTTAAGTAGATCTTAATGATCTCTGAATGCCAATGATTTAATTATTAAATTGTTTTCATGCAGCGGCAGAATATTGGATTTGAATTCAAATGCCACATTCACTTTAGTGCTATAATGCAATACACCAGAGATAATGCTTCTAGGTTAAAATCACACTCTTTGGGCCAGATTTTGATCTTGGGTAAAAAAGTATAACTCCAGAGTAACTGCACTGGTTTTACCAGAGTTACTCCAGACTTACACTGGTATAACCGAAAGCAGAATTTGACTTCTTTTGTCCTTGTCTTGTTTAGAAATTTTAAAATGTTTTAAATTTTGTTTGGGAATTCATTTTTTTCTCTTTGCTTGATTATACCTTGTTTACCCTGCCTTTAATTGTGCATGTTGAGAAATAAAACAACATCAAAATCCCTCTACTATTCCTAAACACAGTAATCTATAAAATAACAGACCTTTTATGTAATTGGTAAAGATTTTATTTTCCTTGTATTAGGGTTTATAGCTATGTTTATCAATCTCTGCTCATACAAAGCTTTGAGTAGGTTTGAAAGAAACAAGAGCATCGGTACACCCATGGGAAATGGCAATTTGGGTTGTTCCCACAGTTTTTGATGACTTAAGCAGAATGATATTTTTGAAACTCATTCCGTTTCCCTTCAACCAAAGACATACTGACAAATGGACCAGGAATGGATCAAAGGTATAGGGTGGGATTTTGAAAAACACGAAGCAGCTTTCAGTAGGAGTCAGAGGCCTAATTGTCATCAACATTCCTGAAAATTCTGTTTTGTTTTTAGTGTGGTCAGTATTAAAGTTGAAGGGTGGTAACTAATGTAGCCAAAACCAGACTAATCTGAAAAAACCCTGAATAGAAGAACAATATAGGGCAGGGGTGGGCAAACTTTTTGGGCCGAGGGCCATATCTGGGTGGGGAAATTGTATGCAGGGCTGGGCTGGGCTGGGGGTTGGAGTGTGGGAGGGGTTGTGGGGTGCAGGAACGGGCTCAGGGCAAGGGGTTGGGGCAGAGGAGGGGTGTGGGGTGCATGAGGGGGCTCAGGGAAGGGGGTTGGGGTACAGGAGGGCTGTGGAGTGCAGGAGGGGGCTCAGGGGTGCAGGAGGGGTGCGGACTGCTGGAGGGAGCTCAGGGCACGGGGTTGGGGTGCAGGAGGGGTGCGAGGTGCAGGCAGGGGGCTTAGGACAGGGAGTTGGGGGGCGGGGTGCCAGAGGGGTTCGGGCTCTGGGGAGGCAGCGGTGTGCACCGGGGCCAGGGCAGGCTTGCAGGGACGTGGTGCCGGCTGCTTCTGAGAGCAGCGCGTGGCTTGTGGCACCACGGGGGGCAATCCCGCTGGCCGGATCCAAAGCCCTGAGGGGCCGGATCCAGCCCGCGGGCCGTAGTTTGGCCACCCCTGGTATAGGGAATACTGTGTGCATAAGACTTCTTTCAATACATGTAATGAATACTGGCTCATGACTTAGCCATGAATTGCAAAATTTCTCCCTAGTGGTTTAAAAATTGACAGCCTCAGATTCAGTGTGAAAGACTGGTGGCTCTCATACTCTCTTTGAAATGTAGCTTTAAGTTTTAGGTCCATATTTGGTCCCCCATTTAATTTATCAGAGATTGACTTTTCATTGATTTTGAGCCTCTCCGATTGTACCACTCTTACAATTGAATACAGCCAAAGTTTTAGAGTAAACTTGGCTTGGATCCGTGAAAAATATATGGCCCCAAATAGGTTCATATATTTGTGGGATTAGATTTGCAAAATTTGGGGAGCTTTTGAAACATGGGCCCCAGCCTGTCACACTTCCGCCGACCTCCACCTTTGATTCTGGTTTAATCTGGCACGGCTTGTTGCAAGAGTGAGTGGGGAAATTGAGTCTGCTCTGTGGAATGGATCATCCAGCTGACCCTTTTTTGTGCAGAGGGTTGGGATTCTGTATGCCACTCTTTGTTTTACTGGGAAAAATAATAATGGAAATGTATAGACTGAACTGGTATTATAAAAAGTGTGTATCATTATTAATCATGAACGCTTGTTTTTTTTATCATCTTTTGAAGGGTGAAATCAGTCATTGCACTTGCCAACTAAAAATCTACATTTGAATCTTTCAAGATTTCCAATCTGTAGTCCTTTTAAAAATTCATATCTATCAAAAAGAGAAAGAATAAAGGAAGAGATTTTGCAGTTCATGGCTAACTCACCAGTCAATGTCTCTTTTTTCATTACTTTTACATTCTTATGATCACAGTGTTCTCCATAAAGCCTTCTGCTCAAGCTGGTTTCAGGCTTGTTTAATATTGTTTTGACTGTTAATTTCCACACTTGTATTTTGATCAAAATCAAATCTGTTAAAACAGCCAAATTTGCAACACTTTGTTAAATCTTGTATTATCTATTTTATTCAAGGGAAATTTCATCAAAAGTTTTTTTAAAAGTACAATATGTTGGGCTAAGAATACATACTTGGATTATTTACTCATTGTTTAGATGCTATGGTACATAGGAGCTATACAAAAACCATAAGTAGATAAAAAGTAACAACAGGTTTTGTGAATGCCAGTATGCTGAAGTTGTGAAAATCCAAATGAACTAGATTTGTTAGCTGAGTAGAAAGGACAAGGAGCAGAAGGAATATCTGCACATGTGTATGCAAATATGACACCCACACTTTGCCAGTTTTAGAAAGTCTCTTTTCCCCATTAATCAGATACGTTAAATCCTTGCAACAATGCAATGCACAACTGAAGGGCAAAAACCAACACCAGAAAAATGATTCACATAAAAATGAAAAGGTCAACATTTTGTCTTTTTCCCTAGTAAGATTCCAAGTGTTTATCCATTGTACAGAAAACAGTTGGTATATTTAGATAGAAGTCTTAAATATTGTCCTTGATTTGTGATGGGAGAGAGAGAGAGAGAAACTTTGGAATAATTTTATTTCCATCTTTGCACATTTTCCAGGGGAATGGTATAACAGATTTCAAGAGTCCTTTTTAAAGGACGGTTCTGGATGAAGAGTCTAATTTACAAGACTGGACTAAAAAAGATATCCCTGTTTAATCCGGTCATAGGAATAAAGTCTTTGTGCTGAAAATGGACATTTGCAGCGATTGTGAGAAGAGAGGATTGTACAAATGGAGTCATCTCTTTTTATAGGGTTTGGAATCAAAATGTCCGGAAAGAGAAAAAAGAAAATTAATATTTCCATCAATCCTGAGATGCGTCAGCCTGAAATGAATGATACTGAAGTGAGACAAGACAACCCAGAGAGACTGAGGTACAGGGCAAACACAAAGATAAAGGAATCACATAATTTCAAAGAACACTCTTGTGCTTATTAGAGGACTACTCTGAGGCCATGTCTACATTGCAGGTGCTACAAGTGGCACAGGTGTGGTGGTGCAGCTATGCCGCTGTAGTGTAGACCTTTCCTACGGCGACGGAAGTTTGTTTTTTTTAGGGCTGTCAAGTGATTAAAAAAATCAATTGTGGTTAATGGCATGATGTTAAAAAATTAATCGCGATTAATCGTGCTGTTAATAATAGAATACTATTTATATAAATGTTTTTGGGTGTTCTCCACATTTTCACATATATTGATTTCCTTTACAACACAGAATGCAAAGTGTACAGTGCTCACTTTATATTTATTTTTATTATAAATATTTTCACTGTAAAAATAAAAGAAATAGTATTTTTCAATTCACTTAATACAAGTACTGTAGTGCAAGCTCTTTATCATAAAAGTTGAACTTACAAATGTAGAATGTGTAGAATGTGTGCAAAACAATGTAAAACTAGAGCCTACAAGTCCACTCAGTCCTACTTCTTGTTCAGCCAATCACTCAGACAAACAAGTTTGTTTACATTTGCAGGAGATAATGCTGCCCGGTTCTTGTTTACAATGGCACCTGAAAGTGAGAACAGGCATTCTCATGGCACTGTTGTAGTTGTTGTTGCAAGATAGTTACATGCCAGATGCGCTAAAGATTCATATGTCCGTTCATGCTTCATCCACCATTCCAGGGGACATGCATCCATGCGGATGAAGGGTTCTACTCAATAATGATCCAAAGCAGTGCAGACCAATGCATGTTCATTTTCATCATTTGAGTCAGATGCCACCAGCAGAAGGTTGATTTTCTTTTTAGGTGGTTCGGATTCTGTAGTTTCCAAAGACTTCTGAAAACATGCTCCATGTCTCGTCCCAATCAGATTTTGGAAGGCACTTCAAATTCTTAAATCTTGAGTCAAGTTCTGTAGCTATCTTTAGAAATCTCACATTTCTTTTTGTTTTGTCAAATCTGCAGTGAAAGTGTTCTTAAAATGAACAACATGCTGGGTCATCATCCAAGACTGTTATAACATGAAATATGTGGCAGAATGTGGGTAAAACACAGAGCAGGAGACGTACAATTCTCCCCCAAGGAGTTCAGTCACAAATTTAATTAACGCATTTTTTTTAATTAGTGTCATCAGCATGGAAGCATGTCCTCTGGAATGGTGACCAGAGCATGAAGGGGCATACGAATGTTTCGCATATCTGGCACGTAAATACCTTGCAATGCCAGCTACAAAAGTACCATGCAAATGTCTTTTCTCATTTTCAGGTGACATTGTAAATAAGAAGCAGGCAGCATTATCTCCCATAAATGTAAACAAACTTGTTTGTCTGAGCGATTGGCTGAACAAGATGTAGGACTGAGTGGACTTGTAGGCTCTAAAGTTTTACGTTGTTTTGTTTTTGAGAGCAGTTATGTAACAAAAAACAATCTACATTTGTAAATTGCACTTTCATGATAAAGAGATTGCACTACGGACTTGTATGACGTGAATTGAAAAAAACTATTTCTTTTTTTTATCATTTTTACAGTGCAAATGTTTGTAATAAAAATAATATAAAGTGAGCACTGTACATTTTGTAATCTGTGTTGTAATTGAAATCAATACATTAGAAAATGTAGAAAAACATCCAAAATATTTAATAAATTTCAATTGGTATTCCTTTGTTTAACAGTGCGATTAAAACTGCGCTTAATCGCAATTAATTTTTTTAATCGCAATTAATGTTTCTGAGTTAATTGCATGAGTTAACTGCGATTAATTGACAGCCCTACCTTTTTCATAGCTTTAAATAATCAACCTTTCCCAGTGGCAGTAGCTAGGTCAATGGAAGAATTTTTCCGTCATCCTAGACATGTCTACACTGTAGATTAGGTTGGCATAGCGATGGCGCTCAGCAATGTGAATTTTTCACATGCCTGAGCACCACAGGTATGTGAACCTAACTGTTAAGTGTAGACCAGGCCTGAGAATTGTGTCTCTGTATGCATTGTAAGAAATGTTGGAAATAAGCTGCCAGATCATATGCCTCCTTTTATATAGTTTGCCCTTCCATGATAAGAGAGATACCATACTGGGATTTGCCACTGAACTACTGAGAGTGAGTCTTGAGCAGGTTGCAGCATTCAAAAATGTATAACAGCCTTGAACAGCAAACCAGATTATAACTGATTAGCCTTGTTGAAGGAAAGGGAATGGTCTAATGCATAAGTGATCCTGCTTATGCATTGTGGAATTAATTATAATTCCATAATGCGTGAGCGTCAGTATAAATTGGGAGTGATCTTGCTGAAGTCATATGGAGTTACAATGGTATACGGTGGTTTGAGAGGAGGATCAGACCCATTAATGAGATGAATGAAGATAAAAATTCAAGAACCTAAGCTAGGTAGAAGAGGGCAAAGAGTGGAGGAGAGTGGGGAAACAAGTGGCAAAGGAAAGAAGATGATGGGAAGATATGAAACAAAAATAAGGACAGAGGAAGTGGAATACAAACAAGGGGAGTGGGGAATCAAGAGGATAGGACATGGAAAACAGAGAAGGTGAAAGTCCATCTTACTATAAAGATTATAGATGAGAAGTGATCCCCCACTGAAGAGGAGAGTAAAGTATTGCAGCAGTAAATACTGGCTGTTATGGGGCAAACTGAATCACCTGAGCTTATGGTAGTGAAACTGAGGGAAAAGCAGGCAGCATCCCATTTCTCTTGGTGTTAATCTATATCCCCAAGATCTGGAATCCCAAATCTCCAGGCCAGGATTTCCCCTGTATCATGATGCATAGAATAGGGGTAATTGTGTGCACCGACAATGCCCATGTCTGTTAGAGGTATGCATAAGGGCTGCAAGCTTGTCATTGAGGTCACGGAAGTCACAGATTCCGTGACTTCTGCAGCAGCTGGTGCGGCTGGCTCTGGGGCTGCCCGAGCGGCTGAGGCAGCTCCTGGGCCAGTTGCACTGGCTGCTGCTGAGCAGCCTCAGGCCCCTCTGTCCTCCAGCAGCAGCAGGAGGAGTTTGGGTGTGGGAGGGAGCTCAGGACTGGGGGTTGGAGCGCAGGAGGGGGTGAGGGCTTTGGGTGGCACTTACCTTGGAGTGGCTCCCTGGAAACGGCAACAGGTCCCTCAGCTCCTAGCTCTGTGCGCTACCTCCACCCGTAGGCACCGCCCCCGCAGCACCCCCCAGGCTGCTGCCCCCCCAGCAGCCGCAGTGCTCCCCGGGCTGCCCCCCCCGTGCACCCATTGTGCCACCCCGAAGGACCTGCGGCCCCCCCCTCCCCCGCAACCCCTCCTGGGATGCTGTCCCCCAGCACCTACGGTGCCACCCAGGCAGCCTCAACAAGCACCTGTGGCCCGCCCCCCAGGTCACCCTCCCCACGAGCCCCCCAGCACTCGCAAGATTTAGTCAGGGGTATAGTACAAATCATGGACTGGTCACGGGCTGTGAATTTTTGTTTACTGTCTGTGACCTGTCCATGACTTTTACTAAAAATACCCGTGACTAAAACGTAGCCTTAGGAATGCACAGTTTTGAAGATCGGGGCCTTAGTGTTTGTCGTGGGTGCTTTGAAGTTATAAATTACTATCATTATCCTTCAATCTGAAACTGTTCCAAATATTGGTTAAACCCATTTCTTTCCTTACTGGAGCATTTGTTGATAGGAACAATTTGTGTTTCTTAATCAGCCTGTTGGACTGATGATGAGGGTAGCATACTTGTAGCGACCAGACATATTGTATCCTTCGTGCCAGATTTTGCAACCCATATGTTGAGTAGGACTGACAGTACTTGTGGAAGTAGTTCCATTGGCTTCAGTGGGATTACCTGTGGGAGTGAGTGCTGCTTTGCATGAATAAACATTGCAGAATCTGTCCCTCCTTGAGCAATTTAGCAGCTAATTCATTTCTTGGAGAAAAAGAAGGAAGCAAAGACTAGGAGTTCCCAGTCACTGCTGGATCTTGGGTGAGAATAACAACCTTTCTGCTGCTTTTTGAACACCTGCAAGCTCCATTAATAGTGATTAAGGCTTGTCATCCCATAGATCCCCAAGCACTTTTCCCTGACAAAGGAGGAACACATTTTACAGCTAGTGAAACAAACCAGGTCTTCTGAATCCTAGTCTAGGGTGGGGTCTTCTAGGCCACACTACCACCCTATGACATTACTGCCTTCTACAGTTGGCCTATAAGATTAGGATTTGCCTACATAGGTAGTTCATGTCAAGCTAGGGTATAAATCTACCCTGCACCAGCCTGCCGTGCACTAAGTGTCCATGTGGACCCCTGCTACTCTGCACTAAAATTTCCCCAGTACCCTGTTTCAATGCAGCATACCGCACAACTGAACTGTTAGCTGACGTCAGCAGGGTCCACGTGGACACTTAGCATGTAAGAGGCTAAAACAGGGTAGATTTACACCCCAGCCAGCATGCCATGAACTAACTGTTCATGTAGACAAGCTCTTAATTTCAAAGTTTTCTAAGAAGCCACCAAAGAGGAAAATTAAAGTGAGAATATATTTGTCTTTCAGACAACTATATAGAAAACTATATTTTCCAATAAAAATGAAAATGAAAGCATTACAATAATTCTTCATTTTTTTTTCTTAGCTGTCATATGTTGTGCGAATCCCTATTATCGTACGGGAGTGGATTCAACAATTTTCAAGGCATTTTTAACTGGTCTGTAGTCCTGTTGGTAAGTGGAAAATCACCAAGTAACGTAGACCGATAATAGATGTTTGATTAGTGTTTCTGACTTTAAAACCGTACAGGGAGGTGCTGAATAGATTAAACCTTTCATGATTTACTTGGTAATACTTACAAAAATATTTGGTATTTCTTGTCTCAGCTCCTAAATTTAGAGCCAGCAGCTCTCACTTCTTTGTTGTACCAAGTCAGTAACTTTCCATTCTCTTTGTGCTCCTTTATGTATATCACTAACTCTTTGCAAGTACCTGCAGCTTAGAATTGTGGGGAAATGGTGGGTACGTGCGTTCTTCCTTCAGTGAGAGGTTGATACAACATGAAGCCCTGTTTAATGTGGGTCAGCATATTTCTCTAGTAGATCCCAGTGAATCAGTGTGATTCCCCACAGTTTCAGACCCCTGAAGTCAATGGAATTTTGTGGGTGTAAATCTGGTGTAATGCCAGGGAGAGCCAGACTCAATATATTTGTTTTGTTTGTTATAGAGAGAGGATTTCTCTTCTTCCTAGAGGGGGAAAGCAAGCCTTGCTCAGCCAAATGAGCAAAGCAATCAGTCCTTTTCTCCATTTTCATCACTAGGGTTTAACACCCTCCCTCCCTGAAATTTGTCACCTCCCACAGCAGGCTTCTTGTACTATGACTGGAACTGATTCTCTTCTCACGTCAGGTATGCACAGATGTAACTCTAAAATTCTGGGGAGCGACTCCTGCCATACACCTTAGGAGAGAAGAATAAGTTTGGTTGTCTTCCCTGGGATCTATTGAATAGATTGTGAGGGTTTTTCAAGCAGAATAAAACAAATGTCATCAAGAAATTTAAGAAACTGGGATTGGTGATCAGTATGGGGGAAAAAAGGCTATTCTCTTACATAAACTTGACTATTCTGAATGGACCTATCAGCTTCTTCTGAGCTACTCTGACCTATTCTAATCAAAGGAAGCCAAAATAATGCATTTGTCATCAACTTTTTGGTTTATGTAAAGGAAATTAGTTCTTGCAGACTACAGGCAAGCTGTTTCCAGCCAATCTGAATGCTGATATTTTAAATATGTTTTTGTGTTGAACTCTGGTGAACTGCGTATGTTTCTTTACTCTAGGTCCTCACACATGTTCACATGAGCCTGGAGAATTTCATCAGGTAAGTGTGTCACTAAAAAAGAAAAGCAGTGTTTCACAGTTCTGGAGAACTTGAATTCTTAGTTGCAGGGGGAGTAGGCATATATTGACTGAAGAGTCATTCTGTGATTAATCAGTAAACAACAAAAAAAGAAATAACTGCATCAAATTTCCCCCTGAACACTATGACGGTGTCCCAGAATTGTTTGCTGGACAGGATGGCATAGTGGTCTAAACTTCAGATTTCAAAATATCTAGATTCTCTAACCATGGTTTCAAATCCCAGCATGATTAACTCAGCCCTTCATCCTTCAGTGGTGGATAAGTTAAGTTCCATGCTGTTTACTAAATAATGTAGTCCTTAGAAACCTGTTTGCCTGAACATTAACAATCCCATGGTATGTTTCAGCCAAGTACAGGTTTACCCTGCTGTCCTTGACCAAAATCCCGCCCCCCCCCGCATCATTTGTCCACCTGATTGCTGCCAAAGAAGCTGCATTTCTGGGTGCCGTGTGATTACAGGACCAGATTGTGTTCCACCCTTTTTCCGGTGTCTAAGAGTGGGGAAGGATGCAAAGAATTTGCTTTACTGACTCCCTGTGTAGGGGCTGTCCCAAATCATATTGTAGAGCATGTAGCATCCTCTCAAAGGATCATGGAGAGAGAATTCCTCATGGGTTCATCTGCCACATAGACCCTATGCAGCCTCCAAACCTGAGGGTGCCCACAGCAGAATCTTTTCCATAATTTGTGAAATATTTTGGGATCCTTTGGAGTGAAAGATGCGACAGAAGTTTAAGACCAGATCTTCAGCTGGGGCAATTTGGTGCAAATCAATTGAAGTCAATGGATCTATACCAATGAGAATTTGGCCCATATAATATGATTACTATCAGAGCCAGCTCAGCAAGGATATCTTGCATTACTGTAGGACCTTTATTTTATGAACTAATTGGGAACCGAAAATTCATAAAATTGAAATCTCAGAATGACAGTAGGTACGCTGCATATGTGAATGTAGTCATTGTTCAGTGCGTGTCCTTAATGAATGGTAACTCATGTATACAGCATGCCTGATTTCTCTTTGAGAGAGCTCCCTTTCTTCGTTGCCAGATCTCTTAGTCTTTTCAAACCTGTACAGCCGATTAAACATTGGCTGAGGGATTGAATTCACATTTGGCAGCAGAAAAAAGGTTCCTATAACTGGCCATTCATAAAATCAAGGTTCTACTGTATTTAGAAAAACTATTAACCTAGGAAAGGGGGAATGTAAAGCAGGGGAACCAACTAACAGGTCCATCTGAAGAGGAGTGAAGCAGCATATGTTGCCCACAATCTCCACTTCTTTAGGAGACTCAGAACCTGTCAGGGCATTTTAGCAAGTGGGCAAGGCTGGCTAGTGAGGGGGCAGGGCCTGAGTGCCAGGGAATGTGTGCTGATTGAATGCATTTCTGCGCGCCTGCCACTTGCAAGGCTCCTGCAGAACCCTCGCCAAAATTTTACAACGGCTACTTCTGGTGGAACCCCTGGGTGATGGTAAATTGTAGTGTCTTCTGGAGCAGAGAGAGAATACAGGGGGATCGGATTTCAGTTCTCGAACCCAAAAGTTGGGGGAAATCATGGTCTCCATTTTGAACAACTACAGTTGGGAGAGGTTTGGGGATTCAAGGTCTGGGGGAGTGAGTAGGAGAAAAGATACAGGCATCTTTTCTTAGTTTGACAATTAGATAGAAGTGTAGTATCCATGTTTCTAAGTATCAAACCATAGAGTTTCTGCACCACCTCACTGTTTTTCTCTCTCAGGTATGGACTGCTATTCGACCCTGTAAAGATAATCTCAGTTTTCCTGAAAGACCCCTATAAGTGGCCAGCAGTATATCTCATTACTGGTAAGCTGACAGTGTTCAAATGTCATTTGCTGAATACCTAATGGTGTCACTTTTGCATTTAACAGCATCCCATGAAATATTTCTATCACAAATGTATTTTCTCTGCACTTTTCTGGATCACAAGCAATGTCCAGTTTTATCACACAAACCCAGATGTGGATTTTTGGCAGGGTTTAAATCCCTGGTAGGAGAGGCAGCGTAGCGTCTGGCTTTCTCTTTTTTGCATATTTCCATTTACACCTATCATGAATTTTAGCTTCTATGAGAGAGGCTTCAGAGGAAGAGTTTCTGTTCTATTGATTAGCCTGCTGCCCTCACCACCATAGTGTCTGTGGCCAGGTCTACACTTAGAATGCTTTGTTGGAATAGCTGTGCTGAGCATTATACTGGCAAAGTGCTGCTAGAATGGTTGTAGCTTATAACCAGCGCTTTTGACAGTATGTTTTTTTCAGGCCCTGGAGCAAAATACGGGTGAGGGTGACAGTCCGAGTCCCCCAAAAGTGCATTTTTGATGGTATAACTACATCTGCATTAGGGGCTTTGCCAGGACAGCTAAGTTGGTCAGGGATCACACCTTTTCACACCCTGACCAACATAGTTATGCCAGCAAAACATTGTGGCCTGAGTGCCCTCCAGTGGTGCATTAAGCAACATGACTAACGTCTATCACATGTGACTTGTTCTCTCTCTCCCGCAGGGGAGATTTGTGTGTGCAGTGGGGCGCTTTGTTTTGGTAGGGTTTTGTTTGGGTTTTTAAATGTCTATGCTGTTCTGTGTTAGTGTTAGAGAAAGCAGGTCAGAGGAGTGCACCTGGTACGTGGAGCAGAAGGTGGGGAGCTCTGTGATGGTCCTTGGTTCTTGGGGGAGTTTATCCCTCAGCCTGGGACCCGCCCCCTTATGGTAGCGAGTTTAATTATCATTCCATCAGAATCAAAGCTCTGATTTCCCCTAATGTGAGTGAGGTCAGTAGTTAGTACAATTGATCTGATTCTGCAGCTACTCTGCATGCGCAGCTCCTATTAACTTCAGAATGGCTGTAGAATTGGGCCCAATATCTTAAACCTTCCTGATTTACAGAGCAGTTTGCTGCCTCTTTCCCAACAAGTGCAGATACACAGAAATAGTGAGCAGTTTTAAAAATGCTAATCATTTTAAAAATCAAAATCAACTCTGAAAATAAAGATCTGATACGATTATCGCACACTCCAGCAGGATGCTGAAAACAGCATGGAATTCAAATGGATTTTTGCTTTAAGTGTTGGTTGTGGTTTTCACTGTAAGAGCACAAGAAAAGAGATACTCAGCTCCTTGTTATTAATGAGAACTGCACATCTCATTCCCCACATATGGCACTAAAAATTTTACCATATGGTGCTTGTTGTTTTACCTTTTCCCTTCAGCTTCATTATAATTTTTCATATAACACACATTCAACCTGTGCAACTCCTTGCCAAAGGATGTTCTGAAGGCCAAGACTATAACAAGATTCAAAAAAGAACTAGATAAGTTCATGGAGGATAGGTCCATCAGTAGCTATTAGCCAGGATGGGCAGGGATGGTGTCCCTAGCCTCTGTTTACCAGAAGCTGGGAATTGGCGACAGAGGATGGATCATTGATGATTACCTGTTCTGTTCATTCCCTCTGAAACACCTGGCATTGACCATTGTCGGAAGACAGGATACTGGGCTAGATGGACCTTTGGTCTGACCCAGTATGGCTGGTCTTATATTCTTATATTTACTCAGGCATGAGGAAGTGATGATATTCTGCTCAGACTCTGTCTTCAAGACAAGAATAGGTGGATGTTTCTCCTAACATCATTAGTTGTAAAATAGTTAATAGTTTTGAATTTAAACTGTCCTTGTCAGATATCAAAGTTAACATCTCATTGAGATGAATGAAAACAGCGCACACCCCTCTTGGCACTAACTGCTGAAACACCTCATGCACAGTCCAGTTTTGGACAAAAGATCTAAGAGGAGTTGTAGGAAAAGACATTTTCCCTTCCCCATCCCAGCTGGTTGATGCTAAGCAGCTGCGTAGCCACTTGTGAAGCCCATGTGCTTTAATAACAACTGGGGCCCATATGCCTTCCTAAGTGAGCCGTTTTAGAACTTTCCGTATAATAGCTGCTCTCCATGCCACTCTTCTACATGACCTCTGTCACAGCACATTAGCACTGCATGCTGTCCCTATCCTTGCAGGGAACCACAGTTGTTCCACAGTGTGTTTAGGGCCTTCCACTTCTGTGGAGCAGAGTTTAGCATTTAGCCCCGGGAGCTATGATTTCATTCTGTCTGAAGTGTCATCTCCGTGTTGGATCACATTCAGAACAGCATATTTACAATCAGAAGGGCTAGAAACATCATTTTAAAAAATGAAAGCTTCCATTCTGCTGAAACTTGTAGATCTCCAGAGAAGTTCTAGTAGAACATATCACTGCCCACCAGTTGAGTCCTACCTGTGCACTTACTTTACCATAGATGTGTTTGATACAGATTTATTTCCTGATGTTTTATTATTTTTCTTCCTTTCAGCCGCTGTTTTGTTTGCACTTCCTGCAGTTTTTATAGAAAGGTATTTAAGAAAGGTAGGTGAACTGGTGGTTTGCTATGCATTGTGCTCTCTCTCTGTAATGGTATTTCTGACTGAACACTTCTGTTATGGATCTACTGGGAGAAGTGAAATACCCATAAGCCATTATTGATTGTAAAGAACATTAGTAGCAAAGTAGCACAGTTTAATGCACTCGTGCATTTCAGCTTTGGAGATCAAGAGTAAAATTTAGATTTGGGCACCAGTAAAATGAGTTATGTGGCCTCAGTCTAGATAGCTTTTTATCAGCCCTAAACTACCACACAGTTGGCACAACTCGCAGTCTTTGATTCAGAGACTGGACTTGAAATATATGTTGGAGGCTAAGATGGTTGGCCTTTGGTAGAGGTACATGGAGGAAGCTTGCAACATTCCTAGTTTTCCTTTCTGTCCAGCTCTTTTATGAGCAGTAAATCCGCCAAAATCACTCTGATTTAGAAAGCACATTAGTGACAAGGCCAAAGAATCACTGGTTATGCTATAAAATTATTATCCTTTGTAGGTTCGTGGCTCTGAAAGCATTGGTTTGGTGTTGCAGTCAGTAAACCTGTTTTTTCTGATAACATTCCCAGCTGTGATGGTTTATAGAATGCAAGCCATAACTCCAGGTGAGAGACGCTTGTTTTGTGCTAGAGGTACTTATGGCCAGCACTATAGTGTAATATGCAGTTTGTCACACAACAGGTGTGTTTGTCTTCAGGTGGGAGGAGAAGGGAAGGGCTGCTGGCCACAATATATTGTTTTTAAAATTCAAAATGACACAGTATTTAAAAGTGTATAGAGCAGTCTTGGTAATTCAGGTTTCAGAGGAACAGCCGTGTTAGTCTGTATTCGCAAAAAGAAAAGGAGTACTTGTGGCACCTTAGAGACTAACCAATTTATTTGAGCATGAGCTTTCGTGAGCTACAGCTCACTTCATCAGATGTTTACCGTGGAAACTGCAGCAGACTTTATATACACACAGAGAATATGAAACAATACCTCCTCCCACCCCACTGTCCTGCTGGTAATAGCTTATCTAAAGTGATCAACAGGTGGGCCATTTCCAGCATAAATCCAGGTTTTCTCACCCTCCACCCCCCACACAAATTCACTCTCCTGCTGGTGCTAGCCCATCCAAAGTGACAACTCTTTACATAATCAAGTCGGGCTATTTCCTGCATAGATCAAGGTTTTCTCACATCCCCCCACCCCCATACACACACAAACTCACTCTCCTGCTGGTAATAGCTCATCTAAACTGACCACTCTCCAAGTTTAAATCCAAGTTAAACCAGAACATCTGGGGGGGGGGGTAGGAAAAAACAAGAAGAAACAGGCTACCTTGCATAATGACTTAGCCACTCCCAGTCTCTATTTAAGCCTAAATTAATAGTATCCAATTTGCAAATGAATTCCAATTCAGCAGTTTCTCGCTGGAGTCTGGATTTGAAGTTTTTTTGTTTTAAGATAGCGACCTTCATGTCTGTGATTGCGTGACCAGAGAGATTGAAGTGTTCTCCGACTGGTTTATGAATGTTATGATTCTTGACATCTGATTTGTGTCCATTTATTCTTTTACGTAGAGACTGTCCAGTTTGACCAATGTACATGGCAGAGGGGCATTGCTGGCACATGATGGCATATATCACATTGGTGGATGTGCAGGTGAACGAGCCTCTGATAGTGTGGCTGATGTTATTAGGCCCTGTGATGGTGTCCCCTGAATAGATATGTGGGCACAATTGGCAACGGGCTTTGTTGCAAGGATAAGTTCCTGGGTTAGTGGTTCTGTTGTGTGGTATGTGGTTGTTGGTGAGTATTTGCTTCAGGTTGCGGGGCTGTCTGTAGGCAAGGACTGGCCTGTCTCCCAAGACTTGTGAGAGTGTTGGGTCATCCTTTAGGATAGGTTGTAGATCCTTAATAATGCGTTGGAGGGGTTTTAGTTGGGGGCTGAAGGTGACCGCTAGTGGCGTTCTGTTATTTTCTTTGTTAGGCCTGTCCTGTAGTAGGTAACTTCTGGGAACTCTTCTGGCTCTATCAATCTGTTTCTTTACTTCTGCAGGTGGGTATTGTAGTTGTAAGAAAGCTTGACAGAGATCTTGTAGGTGTTTGTCTCTGTCTGAGGGGTTGGAGCAAATGCGGTTGTATCGCAGAGCTTGGCTGTAGACGATGGATCGTGTGGTGTGGTCAGGGTGAAAGCTGGAGGCATGCAGGTAGGAATAGCGGTCAGTAGGTTTCCGGTATAGGGTGGTGTTTATGTGGCCATTGTTTATTAGCACTGTAGTGTCCAGGAAGTGGATCTCTTGTGTGGACTGGACCAGGCTGAGGTTGGTGGTGGGATGGAAATTGTTGAAATCGTGGTGGAATTCCTCAAGGGCTTCTTTTCCATGGGTCCAGATGATGAAGATGTCATCAATATAGCGCAAGTAGAGTAGGGGCTTTAGGGGACAAGAGCTGAGGAAGCGTTGTTCTAAATCAGCCATAAAAATGTTGGCATACTGTGGGGCCATGCGGGTACCCATAGCAGTGCCGCTGATCTGAAGGTATACATTGTCCCCAAATGTGAAATAGTTATGGGTAAGGACAAAGTTACAAAGTTCAGCCACCAGGTTAGCCGTGACATTATCGGGGATAGTGTTCTTGACGGCTTGTAGTCCATCTTTGTGTGGAATGTTGGTGTAGAGGGCTTCTACATCCATAGTAGCCAGGATGGTGTTATCAGGAAGATCACCGATGGATTGAAGTTTCCTCAGGAAGTCAGTGGTGTCTCGAAGGTAGCTGGGAGTGCTGGTAGCGTAGGGCCTGAGGAGGGAGTCTACATAGCCAGACAATCCTGCTGTCAGGGTGCCAATGCCTGAGATGATGGGGCGCCCAGGATTTCCAGGTTTATGGATCTTGGGTAGTAGATAGAATATCCCAGGTCGGGGTTCCAGGGGTGTGTCTGTGCGGATTTGATCTTGTGCTTTTTCAGGAAGTTTCTTGAGCAAATGCTGTAGTTGCTTTTGGTAACTCTCAGTGGGATCATAGGGTAATGGCTTGTAGAAACTCGTGTTGGAGAGCTGCCGAGCAGCCTCTTGTTCATATTCCGACCTATTCATGATGACAACAGCACCTCCTTTGTCAGCCTTTTTGATTATGATGTCAGAGTTGTTTCTGAGGCTGTGGATGGCATTGCGTTCCGCATGGCTGAGGTTATGGGGCAAGTGATGCTGCTTTTCCACAATTTCAGCCCGTGCACGTCGGCGGAAGCACTCTATGTAGAAGTCCAGTCTGCTGTTTCGACCTTCAGGAGGAGTCCATCTAGAATCCCTCTTTCTGTAGTGTTGGCAGGGAGACCTCTGTGGATTAGTATGTTGTTCAGAGGTATTTTGGAAATATTCCTTGAGACGGAGACGTCGAAAATAGGATTCTAGGTCACCACAGAACTGTATCATGTTCGTGGGGGTGGAGGGGCAGAAGGGCTGGCTAGCACCAGCAGGAGAGTGAATTTGTGTGGGGGGTGGAGGGTGAGAAAACCTGGATTTATGCTGGAAATGGCCCACCTGTTGATCACTTTAGATAAGCTATTACCAGCAGGACAGTGTGGTGGGAGGAGGTATTGTTTCATATTCTCTGTGTGTATATAAAGTCTGCTGCAGTTTCCACGGTAAACATCTGATGAAGTGAGCTGTAGCTCACGAAAGCTCATGCTCAAATAAATTGGTTAGTCTCTAAGGTGCCACAAGTACTCCTTTTCTTCTTGGTAATTCAGTATCACGTGGTCTCTGAACAGTGCCACAGAACAACAGGCATTAAAATTCTGACTTTGATGTCTCAAAGTTCTATTAGTAATGTACATGCATACTCATCTGACTTGTTTGGCATGCAGAATATAAAGAAACAATTCTTCAAGATATTCTATCCTTCTCTTCCAAGTGTCTGTTCCCTGGCCATTTTGTACATGTGTGTAGCTTCTGTCAGGGGTGATGGTAATAACTTTGCATACCAAGAGGAGTCAGGAGTCCCAGTTCTCCTCTCTCAAAGTTTATGATGTTAACAGAAACCTTTGTTGGTCTATAGCCTCATATAATAAATAGATGCTTGTACAATACATTATTAGGCCATCTATCCCAAATTCTAATTTAAAGCACTACACCCACAAGTAGACATATTTTAAAAATATATTTTAGGAAATGTATATTCAGTTTTTGTGTACACTTGTTTATATTCCTTTTCCCAATATACCTGTGCATAAATATGTCTTCTTTATAAAAACCTACTCATTCTGGCAAATGTATCCTTCAGTGTCCCAGTCTGGCACCAGGTCACTTCCATTGTAGTCAATGGATGTGATGTTTTAAAACACTGGATTGTGGCTAAGTGAGGGAATCTGGCTGAAGGAGATGGCAGATTATCAAGGTGAAAGCTGCTGTTTTCGTACACACAGGAAGGAATTACGTAAAGGCCTAAGAGGCCTGCAAATCGACATACAAAAATGTGAGCCTAATTTGTGGTGCAAATGGCCAGTTAAATGCACAGCTAGTCATTTGAGTGTGCAGTCACCCAGTTTGCATATGCACGTATGTGATAATTACAAGTGCTACCTGTGTGCACACTAGTGAACCTGGAGTTCTGCAGCGTGGGCACTGAATGTACATAGCAGGTTAACCAATTTGCTAAACTATCATATTGTTTATAATTTGCCTGGATGTAGCTGGCAATTCTTTCAACAAATAACCAAGCAAAAAAAGTACTTTTTTTCTTTGAACAAATTGGGCATGTATAAAGAAAAGGAGGACTTGTGGCACCTTAGAGACTAACCAATTTATTTGAGCATGAGCTTTCGTGAGCTACAGCTCACTTCATCGGATGCATTCAGTGGAAAATACAGTGAGGAGATTTATATACACCCAGAACATGAAAAACTGGGTGTTATCATACACACTGTAAGGAGAGGGATCACTTAAGATGAGCTATTACCGGGCCGGGGAGGGGAGAAACCATTTGTAGTGATAATCGAGGTGGGCCATTTCCAGCAGTTAACAAGAACGTCTGAGGAACAGGGTGGGGGGGGGAGCAGCGGCGGCGTGGCATGTATAGTAATGCAATAGCAATAGCTCCATCTGCTGAAACAAATAGTAAATCATTGGAAAGTCCAGGTGTCACAGCCTACCCAGAGCTCCCGACACTATTAGCATGCCATGACACTTTCATGTCTTGCATGCTCTGTTTAATAATGCGCCAATTATTAAAAAATCTGTATTCATTCAGATTTTTGAGGGTAAATGTGTGAGGTGGGTAATAGTGTTAATTCAGTCAAGTGAAATGATGAGTGACAATAAATAGAGAAGCTCTCTCAAAATGGTACTCCTTTCATTTGGAGGGTCACTTAGTTTTGGCGTGCGCAGATTAGCGATGTAACACCATCATCTAATGTAACTAATATGATATGGCTACATGGCTAGGGAGCAGGAAACCATATTAAACCATATTTCAAGAAGTTTTCTCTGCCATGCTTTATGATTTTAACTCCTTACATTGTTTGCCATTAAAAAGTCCCAGGTACCACAGTTCTTTCCTGTACTAAATCTAGAGAGAGCCTATGGCTTCTCTAGTATCGCTGTGTGGTAACAGGCTGACACATGCTTTCTTTTCAATGGTCACTTCTGTTACCAGCCTCTGATTCACAGCTTTGCCTGGTTTCAGGGTTGAGCCACCCTCCTGGGGCAGCGCGGTTCACACTGTGCTTCTCTATAGGAGCCAGGCCCCTTTCGCTATGGGGGGGATTCATGCGGGGGAGAGCTGGCTGCTGCCATCCAGCCGTTTCAGTCTCTAGGGGTCTAGTGGAGCCTCTCTGGCAGAGCCTCTCTCTGAGCCAGTACATCTCTTGGCTGACTTGCCATGCGCTTTCCCTGGCCAAGGGCTGCCTACGTTTGGGGCTGCGTTGGCTCTTGTGGGCTTTGTGACAGCCTCTCTGGGCAGAATCTCTGCTGCCAGGGCCCTCTGCCAAGGTCGGTGCCAGCAGGAAATTGCCTCCCAAGGTGTGTATAGATTTAAAGGACACTCAAGCAGTCAAGTGTCACTGGGCACCTCCTTGTAATGAGAAGGAATTCGTTTGCAAATCTCTTTTATGGATGCATTAGGCAGGCTGCACAGATAGACTGATATCCTTTATCTAATTAGCAAAGACAACATCATTGTCCTGAGTCTGTGTGTTTGAGAAGAAAAGATAAACTGCACCTGGAATTATCACAACAGGTTATTTTCTCTCTTGTTTCTTAGCTGGAGGGTTGCTGACCATGTTTGTGTATATCATCATTGCCCTGAAACTGTTCTCCTACTATCAGGTGAATCGCTGGTATAGGGAGGGAACCCCTAGACCAGTCAGAGGAACTTCCAGAGTGCAAGGTCAGCAAATTCTGAACCCTCCTATCTCTTATCAGTAGGCACCGAAAAGAACGTACCATTTATATGTGGCTCAGTGGACTGAGCACATCAACGCCAGGGGCTTGGGTTCTAATTCCAGCTCTGTCATGGATTCCTTGTGTGGCAGTCTCCTTGTCTCAGCTTCCCAATCTATTGATGGAAAATCTCTCTGTCCAGAGTATTTGTAAATGTGCTTTTGTTGAGGCATCTAGACATCTGTTACCTCACACAGTTATTGTAAGGATTCATTCATTAAAATTTCATATAAGATATAAAGTGCTCTATAAGGGCTAGCTCTGGTACCACTGATTTTGGTGGGAACAGGACCAGGGCCTCGGTGTTTTTGAACAGGCAGAGTCTCACTCTGCTTTCAGAACAACGTGCACACAGTAGGTTGATGTCTAAGCTTGTCCCTCCCTAGGGTTTGCCTTTTTTCTTAACTTAAGTAACAACCATACTTACCCCTCAGCCTACACTTTCTCCTGACCTTAGCTTGTTCCTAGCAGCATCCCTAGCCCTAGTTCTCCTCTCCTCCGAAAGACATTCTGACCCCTTTGATGCTCTTGGTTGGGAGCAAATAGGATTCACCCGGCCTGGTGAACCAGCAGTAATAACTCAGCCTCTCTCTCTTGTGCACCGAATGAGGCGGCGGTCCTGTGGAAAAGATAGAATGTGATCATGTCATTAACGCATACACACAAGGATGCTGAATTAAGGTTGCACAGGCAACCTGAATTCTGACGTTTCCTAACTTTTGAGCGCTTCGCTTTGCAACCGTAATGATCATTTAACATAGTTTTTTGGATGTAATTTACTAGGTTTTAAAAAACTTAACAGAAAAAGCAGAAATTTCATTCTGTGGAACCATATTGACTCCCACGTGAGTCACCAGTAGGGTTGGGGTCAGTATCTGAAGCTAGCTGTCTTGGTGTAAAAACACACCTTTTTGGCAGTGAAGACATAGGTGTAACTGGGAATAGATTGATTAAAATGATTTAAATTCCTCTCTACCATTGACTTCAGTGGGCTCAGAGTTAGGGCAACTCTGAGCTCATGTGAAAATCCTACCATAAGCTCCTACCTGCTTAGAGTATTACCTACTCTAGCCTCTTGCTTGCCTCATCTGGGCTCCTCTTTTAATTGTATATTAGCTTCCTCCAGTCATCCTGCAACCAAACCCTGTGCGCTGGTTTGCCCCAACCAATAGCAGATGATGCGCATAATCACAGAGGGGAAGGGCAGTAGTTCGTGTGATCACAAAAGGAAGGGGAAGTAGTTCACACAGTCATGAACCACAGGAGACGTGTTCATGAGATGGTTTCTTTTTCATGAAGAAGTGGTTTTCTTTGTGAAAAAGAGGAAGAAGGGTCCAATGGTTAGGGTGCTAGTCTGACACTCAGGAGACCCAGGTTCAAATCTCTGCTTTGCCATAGACTTCCAGTGTGACATGGGGGAAGGCCTCTCTGTGCCTCAGTGCCCATCTGTACAATGGGGATAATAGCCTCACCCTGCCCTGCCTCAGAAGTATGGTTAGGGTGAACGCAATCATTGTGAGGTGCTCAGATATTATGGGAATGGGGGCTACCTAAGTGCCTAAAGAGAGAGAGAGGAAAAGTTGACTCTTGACCCAAAGTGTTGGAAACTATGCACCCACAGATTAGCATGAAGTCAAAGCTGGACAGAACGTTGGTGTTGGTGTCACCTCCTTGAACTTTGTAAAAGTTGAGCTCTCTTCAGCCCCGGCTTGTTATATAAAGTCATTTGTGACCTTCAATTCACTTGAAACCATATGATAGATGTTACATCTTTTGTTAGCAACAGATCCTTCAGCCCATCAGTCCAGAAGGAACGAAAGAGGACAGTCAAAGCAGATCATGTACCCAATGAACCTGAAAGTAAAAGGTAACATTTCCTCATACTTCAGCAGTTACCTCTTCACCGTCAGCACTCTTCACTGTATTTGCAGCAGCTCTTACCCTGATAACCAGATGAACAAAAATTGCATTTCTAATAGCTCTTCTTAAAAGAACATTGTCCCTTACAAATCACACTTCTGGCTGAAAATACTTTACTTGCCACTGTTACAAGTCCACCTAAGGCAACTGTAAATGGAGGAGAACAGAGAAAACAATATCTGGGTTTTTTTAGTTTACTTTGTATATTTGGCAGTACTTTAGGTATAGTCAGTTTCACAGTTCCCCTTGTACAGTCTGTTGTTTGTGAGTCTTTCACAGGGCAACATTTGTTTGTATGTTGAGCAGGGGGCAGAATGTTTTAAATGGAAACTATATTTGTAAAGCCACTTTGGGTACCCAAAGTGATGGCATCAAGATACTCCATGGTTCTGGTTATGATTGGAATATCATGCTCCAACAGTACGGCAACCTCCATCTCTTTCCCAGTTCCGTCTAGCAACATTAGCTCTCAGACAAAGCCTGTATTGGTTGAAATCACAGTACTTCACAATAAAAATGCAAATATGGTCCAAAAATGGCTAGTTGCATTCGGGGCAGATGTAATACCTGGAACTACTTTTTAAATCAAGTTTGTGATTTTTTTATTAGCTGCCTAACTGGCACTGGTGCCTTCGAAAGATATCCCCACCTTGACTCAGTGGGAACTGTTGGGGATTCAGCACTTTTAAAAATCAGGCCTTTTATTTAGGGGCCTCAGTATGATCTTAGGAGCCTAACATTAGTTACTCATTTTATAAAATCTTGGCCTTAAGTTTGAAAGTATGGAGCACATCTCACAGCACTGCCATTTAGCCTGCATTCTAGTCATTGCTTCTATGAAAACTTAACTGTCTTTAAGTGTGCACAGCTCTGTCAGACCTGAAATAGGCTTCCCAGAGGAGGTTGTGGAATCCTCGTCACTGGAGGCTTTTAAGAACAGGTTAGATTAACACCTGTCAGGGAGGTTCTAGGTTTACTTCAGCAGAGAGAGGTGGACCAGATGACCTCTTAAGGTCCCTTCCAGCCCTACATTTCTAGGATTCTATTATTCTAATGCTGTTACAGAGATAAGATCCTCATAAGAGAACGTCTTTGGTTCAAGGAGTTCTCTTTGCTATATTGCGAGTTCTGCCATGTCTCTGCATGATTTGTGTTTTGTAGCTGTGGAATTCTGATTGAGCTCCATGCAAGCTTCCAAATGTGATACGTTATGTGGGCACAGCAGCCTCACTCATCCCAAAGCGTTTTGCGATGAGCAGTGATCGCTTAATACAGTCATAGTCGAACTGACTGACAAATGTAGTGACATTTAGCTATTATGGAGCGCACTGTGCGGCAGTGTTGCTCTTCCAGCTTAGCCCTACTATGACTGTGGTGTATAGTCACTTAGAAGATGCAAAGATAAAGGGTGATATCCTGACCCCACTGAAGTCAGGAGGAAACTCCCACTGGTTTCAAAGGGCCAGGGTTTCACCCAAAATGAATACATTCCTAAATGCTAAAAGCAAACAACATCAAGTGAGAATTTTTTCATGAACCTTTCAGGGCCTCTTAGGGCAAGATTGTGCTGTCCCCTGCACGTGTGTAAGGGTGGAGGGAATGCAAGGAACGTCTCCCTTCACAGAGCCCCCATGCAGAGGCTGGCCACAGTTCCAGTCCTCATGCTTCCCTGAGCATAAGGACTGTTCGGGCTGCCAAGCCTGTCCCTAGGGGTGGAGAGGAGCCAGGCATGGCCATTGCCCTCTTTAAGAACGGTGTCTCTGGGTACTCCAGAAGGCACTGTATCACCCGGTAATTGCTGCACCGCATGTTGTGGGATGGAGTGATTCAGCACCACCCACATTTCAGGCTGCTGCTTTATGTCACAGTTTAGCTGTCAGGGGGTATGTCTACACTGCAGTTAGACACCTGTGGCTGACCTGTGTCAGCAGACTCAGGCTTGCAGGGCTTGGGCTAAGGGGCTGTTTAATTGCAGTGTAGAGGTTCGGGCTTGGGCTGCATCCCAAGCCCTGGGACCCTCCTACCTCACAGGATCCTAGAGCTTGTGCTCCATCCCAAGCCTACATGTCTACACTCTAATTAAACAGTCCCTTACGCAAGCCCCGCAAGCCTGTGTCAGCTGGCATGGGCCAGGCGTGGGTATGTCTACACCCACTGTGAGCTAAGTCATCCACCCACTTCTTAAGTGACTTATTTACATTGGAGTTATGCATGTAGCGTAGGTCAGGATCTAGCCTTAGATTATCTGTCATTGGAATTACCCATGTTCATTTGTGAATTCCTACAGTTTATTGGGTACCCAAAGTGATGGCATCAAGATACTCCATGGTTCTGGTTATGATTGGAATATCATGCTCCAACAATATGGCAACCTCCATCTCTTTCCCAGTTCCATCTAGCAACATTAGCTTTCAGACAAAGCCTGTATTGGTTGAAATCACAGTACTTCACAATAAAAATAAATATGGTCCAAACTGTGTAGATAAACTGAATTCTAAAGTCGATTTGCCATGAAGAGTGAATTTTTTTTAAAGCCTGGTATTTTTCTTCTTCCCCCAGATCTGTATTACTTCCTGCTAGCCCCCACGCTTTGCTACCAGCTGAATTTCCCAAGACAAAAGAATTGCCGGCAAGGCTATATCATTAGGAGATTCATTGAAATGGTAAGAACAAGGCATTGCATTTAAAACTGTCCACTTCTCTGCTCCCGCTATCACAGTGAATGTATCAGATCTTGAGGTTTCACACTGCATATGTTCCTTTGGAGGCTGAATGTGACAGTTCTGAGCCATGCATGATTTTCCCATGACATTTTACAAACACAGGTAAGCCGTTTCTGCTGTGTTTAAAAGATTTTCTTAGGCCCCTCAGTCCCTGGAGGGCTAGAAGAGTGTCCTAGGACATCCTTCCAGCTCTTGGTCTACCAGGGATGGAATGCCATCCCAAATGCATCCTAAAAATGCAACAGCCAGCAGTGCTACCTGAAGCCTCTTTTAGCTTCATTGAGGCAAGTTGTACCTCACTTGTGTTGTGAAATGTCATCAAATTAACACACATTTCAGACTTTTTATTGACATTTTTGCAAAAATGTCCATTTTTCACAAATCCATTTTGAATCCCCACCCCCATCTTTAGAACACTTGAATGAGAAATGGGGGTTGGTTTTCATAGATTGTCTCTATAGGGGAGCCCTCTTGTTACCCCTTAGACCCCTGTGCCTTAGCAAGTCTTATGCTAAAGGTTCCTTTTGCAGCCTGTAAAGTGTTGTCCAGTGGGGTCACTGACACTGATGTGAGGCCTCTGGAACTCTCCTGTCTCCAACCAACACAAAGAGCAAAGGACCAAACTTAGCATCCAAATATGGACCCTGCATGTATAACTCAGTGCATGGCCACTAGGCCACCGGATCAGCTGATCTTTGGTCAGTTAATGCAGGAAATACACAAGATAAAATTGCACTGCAGACTTCATGAAAATACAGATGACAAGACGAGTCCTTGTATTTTGCAGCTGTAGATGTTTGACATCTTGTATTAGAATGACTGATACGCTGGGAAGCATGCCATTCACTCGAGCTTGCTGCAGCACCAGATATTTTAGGGTCAGTTGCACTTGAAGATGCTGTGGTGGTTATAGTGTTTAAATACAAGATAGACTGGAGATTTTGCAGTGATGACCCAGGATACTGTCAACTCAGTTTAAGGGAATTAAGGCTCCAAAATCTACTTTTGTTGTTTTCTTTGCAGGTTTTTCTCTTTCATCTCATGCTGGGGCTAATACAGCAGGTATGTTTTTTGTCTAAGGTTAAACCCCAGGGATTCAGCTACCATGGATAATGAGGCCTCTGTGAACCACATATTACCACTTAATGCGATAAGCTATTTAGATCTGACCTTTACCACTTCATTTTCTTTACTGTCAAAATAAGCCCTTGCATCTACCTTAATACTCACGCAATTTGGAAATGGATCAATCATTTAGATTCCTGTCAGTATCTGCTTAGACTGAGGCTATATCTATTCTACAGCACCTATGCCAGCATAGCATGGGTGCAGTGTACGCCGACAGGAGGAGTTTTTTCTGCTGCTGCAGGCACACCACGTCCCTGATCGATGTTAGCTATGCTGATGTTAGCACTCTTCTGTTGGCATAGCTGTGTCTCCGCTGGGGTTTTGCCATCACCCCTGATTGACATAGCTATGTCAGGACAAGTTTTAAGTATAGACCAAGCCACAGTTACTGCCTCAGCGAGCTACCACGAGACCACAGTGCAGATATAATATAACAAAGTAAAGATGCTGAAGGGGCGGGGGAAGAGGGGGAGTTCTCCACTCCTGTTAGTGGTGTTGCTGACTTGCTCCTCCACAACTGTCCATGCCTCAAGTTAAGCACTGGGAATTTACAGACGTGTGACTGAGAGAGTGAGGGAAAGTACCCACTGCGTCCCTAGTCACCAAAAGGATTATTAAACTTGTTCTGCCACTTCTTTGGGCTTCTCCCCATCTCAGCTGCTCCTCTCACAGCAAGCTGGAAAATGTTTAATAGCCAAGATCTAAACTGGGCTGGGGTTAAATTGCAAAGGAATTTCCACCGGGACCTGAAGACTAGTGAGGATTCAATGAGGAGACTAAATCCTCAACCAAGTGCACAAATATCCATGCCCCATATTGGCCTGTTTCTAAATTTGTTCCCAATTCCTACCCTAACACCCAGTTCATCAGCTCATCCCGTTCACTCTGTCCTCAGCAGTTGTCATCTGCCTTGTTGTCCAGTATTTTCCCTTCCACCGTTTGCTCCAAAATCCTTTTGCCTGCAGCGGTGGCAATTGAGTGCAGTGAAGGAGGAGGATTCACTTAGATGAGGATTTTTTTCAGTAATCAAGCATAATTTGTAGTGCATTAGTACAGTTTAATAATCCATTTAGTAAACTACTAACTTTACTAATGCACTTAGAGCTCTTATTACTGCATGTTCATCTAAGATGCCACCCTTTTGCATCATGATAGCAAGTGCTGAGGATTCTTTACCATGCTGATGTACCCCCATACATTTGATTGTGTTCCGTTTGCTCCCAGCTAGAGAAGAGAGAGTGCAAGCCCTTTGTACCCCCAAGCTTCAGTGATGCACACACTAATGCAGGGGGGTAGAGATTCTAGCTCCATATCCAAACTGATGCTGAAAGCATTATAGAACTTCATGGTCTTTACACCCGAAAGGAAGTGCTACCCATGAGAACAACAATAGTCAGCTGGCAGGTTGGGATGCAGCTGTTTAGCAGGGTGTCAGGTGTCCTCCTAGCTATTCAGTTGGTATGACAGCCCAGGAAGGGTTTGTATGCTACACAAGCTGCACTTGTGCTTTTTCATTATAGCAGAGACATAAAAGAATGAGTCACTTTACAATGCCTTGCAGAAAGAACTGTTTATATCCTCAATTCTGTGTTTATTTTTTGTTCCAGTGGATTGTACCAAATATTCATAAATCAATGAAGCCCATAAATGTAAGCAAATCACACCTGGTTATTTTCTTGAACCAAATTCTGACTCATTCAGACCAGTGCCAGAGATAACATTCATCTATTTTGTTTGTTTCTGCAGGAAATAGAGTCCACCCTCCTCACAGAATACATCTTAAAACTAGCGGTGAGGCCAATCTGCATGCTTTTCAATTCCGGGGTTAAGCTGATGTGTAACTATTAGAAATTTCCCTTTGGAATAGAAAACAAAGGAGATTTGGGAATGCCAGGGGTCCAGTAACCATGCTAGATCTATTCCCTTCTAGCTCTTTAATCTCACTTAGGGTTTTATATTGCTGTCCATCCCACAGCATCTGATTGCCTTCCATGTAAAATCAGGAGCAATAGTAAAGTCCCTAGTGGACTTCATGGACTCTCTGGCATGTCTCACTTTTTAGAGTCAAAACTTTATTTGAGGTATGGTATTTTCTTTTTTAAATTATTGTTCTGGGTAAGGGTTATTGGGCAGAAGAGGGTATCAGTGTTGAAGATTTTTGGGTACAAGGGGGTGCCAGTGTTGTGTCATTCTTACGATAGAATTACTTTTTTGAAGAAGAAGGTTTCGCAGCATTTCTGGAAGATCCTCAGAGTCTGGATTGGCCCAGTCTCCTCTCGGAGTTTATTCCATAGGCAGAGCCCCTCAGTTGAGAATGGTTTGTCCCTGCTTCTCATGTGCTTCATTGTGGGCTCTGTGATCTGCATTGTCCTAGCGGAGCACAGCTGTTGTCGTGGTTCAAAGATCAAAATTCGATCTTTGATGTAGCTAGGGTTTGATCCATTAATTGCTTTGAAAAGAAGGACCAAGGCCTTAAATTGGCAGCAGAAGCTAACTGCGAGCCATTGGAGGGGCTTGAGCACTAGCCTGATACTCTCACAGCAGCCTAAGCCATGGAGAAGGTGGGCAGTTATATTCTATACCATCTAGAGCTTGTGCATGGTTTTCACATTCTGCTTCACATACCTGTAGGTGACATGTGCATGGATCGGTGTTGGCAGGTCTTCATCTGGGAGGAGGGGACAAAATTTCCTATTGTGAGCTGGAGTGAAAACCCTTGTGTTAAGTTAGCAGTTATTTCTTTTCCACAAACACTTACCTCTCTCACTGATATGTGGGAAAGACCTCCCCATCCCTGGTGGAGCCCTAACCTTCCTCCACTTTCCCCTGTTTTACACTATGTCTGTTCATAGCTGCGTAGCTTCCCCTTCCAAGGCCTGTCATCAGTCCCCATGCTTCTGACCAAGGGGCTGCGGGAAAGGCGGCCAGCACATCCCTCGGCCCGCGCCGCTTCCCGCAGCCCCCATTGGCCTGGAGCAGCGAACCACGGCCAGGGGGAGCTGCGATCGGCCGAACCTGTGGACGCGGCAGGTAAACAAACCGGCCCGGCCCGCTGGGGCTTTCCCTGATCAAGTGGCGGACCGGCTTTGGGAACCACTGGTCTATACCATTCTCTAGCTTTTAAAGCTCTTTGGGATCCCTCAGGATGAAAAGTGCTTTCCAACTGAAAGGCCTGGTCTACATACAGATTTTGTACCAATATAATTATTTTTGGTTTGGGGTGTGCTTTTTTTTAAACTCAAATAGTTATTCTGGTTGAATCCGTAGTATAGATGCAGGTATAGCTGTAGAAAGCTGCCTTATACTAGGATTGCCTATTTCCCTTCCTGCGTATAGTAAAATTTATCCTGGCATAGCCCCTTAGTGTGAATGCAGTGTACACTGAGAGAAGGAATTTTTATGCTGGCGTAGAAACGCCACCTCCCCAGACGACGTTAGCTATGTCAGCAGAAGCACTCTTCTGTCGGCACAGCGGCATCTACACTGGGGACTTTGTCAGCATAGCTAAATTGCTAAGGATTGTGGCTTTTTCACTGACGTAGCTATGCTGGGATTAGTTTTATTTAGGTATAGACCAAGCCTAAGCAGTACTGATAAAAGCACCTTTATTCCAGTCTAACTGCATCCACCCATGGGGATAGTACTGCTCCACCGGTGTAGTTAAAGCGGTATGTCTTTTGTGTGTAGATGAGGCCTAAAATGATATTATCTCTTACAAGAATACAGAGAAAACAAAACATTGAAGGTGGGACCATGGTTAATGGATGAGTATTTCCCTGTTGGAATCCTGGAGGGTACAAGAGGAATGTATTTGATTCATTCTAGTTCATATTACATTTTTATCCATACTGAAGATAAAAAATCTACCCTGCCCTCCCGCATTGAGCCATCTCTGCAGGGCACAACTCAGTCCAGATCTGTGACAAGCGTTGGCACAACTGCCTGGAAGAGTTTGCCTATCCTCTGCCTGACTCCAGCCAGTTACTCACTCTCTCAATATTCGCTAGGTTCAATTCCAAAATTACCTCATTACACACCATAGGCCCATATAGTTTCTCAGTTTCCTATAGAAACCCTGCCTTGCATTAGTCTATGAGCTTTATTTATATTTGAATCATTTTCATGTGTTTCTTTATATTAATCATATTTAAAAGCCTGTCTCCATTGCATTGCTTGCAACTGGATACTTTAAATCCAGGAGAAGGTAGATCTCTTTATGAGAGCAGTTACTGTGACAAGGGCCAGATTATATCTGATTATAGTGAAGCAGTGCTGGAGGAGTGGCACTGTACAGGAGGGAAGGATTGTTTTTATTATGTTTCCCACACAGGTGCCAAATCATTTCATCTGGCTGATCTTTTTTTATTGGTACTTTCACTCCTGCCTCAACTGCCTTGCAGAACTGCTTCGATTTGGAGACCGGCAATTTTATCTAGACTGGTGGTAAGGTTTCTTTTACCTCTTGTCAAAACAGATCGCTGTTGCTTAATAGAATCAGACTGCTATGTGTCATGCTTAATGTCAATGGGGAGATTGTATTCCAAAAAAAGAGGGATCTGATTGGCTGGCAAAGGTTCTACCTGTACAAGTATCTGGCATGACTGACTGAATTTCTGTAACTGTTAGTCAGTTAGCATTGTTAGATAACAATGGGGCTGGGAAAAGCAAGGTAAGGAATTTAAAATACAGATGTAGATGCTCTGTTGCTTTGCACCTTGTGCAGTCATTTACACAATGGAAATAGGTCACCTAATCAGACAGACAGTGATTTACACCACACTTCGCATGCGTGTAAGTGATGTCCCAAGAATCTGCCTCATAAACTCTACAAATATACTTTAACTTTTACCGCTACCTGCAGAAATAGACATTGGATCTGTTAAAATAAGATTCAGATAAGGTCCACAAATCTAGGCTTTACCTTACTTTGACTAATTCCCTGTGGAAGCAGAAAACAGAAGTCAGCAGCTGAAAGTAACAAGTGTTTTGGCATCTGTTTCTTGTTTCCACTACCATTTGCACAGAAGGTGGACTTGTGAAAACAAGATACAGGAAAGTTCAAAAACAAAGTCTACGCTTTAAACCATTGCCTGATTTTCACTGATCTGACCTCTATTTCCAGAAAAGCTGGTAATGTTAGTATCACTAGCAACCGATAGGGATTCCAGGTGCTGGCTTTTCCTGGCAAGATCTAGTTCGCATAAGTAGCTGAAAAGCCTGCAGTACTTCAGATTGGAAAAGGATATTTTTCATTTAAAAAAACAACTTTGGGTTCTTTTAAAAAAAATCAAATAGTTTATTTAATTTTCAAACAGACAGTTGTACCCAGACATGCCTACGTTTCAGGTACTGTCGTTGAATTCTCTGTGCTTTTGGCTCTCAACAGAGTAAAATGACACACCTTCCTGTGTATTATTATTTATATATAGTATATGTGTCATAGAATATAGAGTAATTATTCTGTTGATACTCATTTCCTAAGCATTGGTATAGAAAATATTTTAAAGTTGTTGGCACACAGAGATGTCAGTTACAGCCTAACTATGCTGCTGTTCGCAAAAAGAAAAGGAGTACTTGTGGCTCCTTAGAGACTAACCAATTTATTTGAGCATGAGCTTTCGTGAGCTACAGCTCACTTCATCGGATGCATACCGTGGAAACTGCAGCAGACTTTATATACACACAGAGAATATGAAACAATACCTCCTCCCACCCCACTGTCCTGCTGGTAATAGCTTATCTAAAGTGATCATCAGGTTGGGCCATTTCCAGCACAAATCCAGGTTTTCTCACCCTCCACCCCCCCACACAAATTCACTCTCCTGCTGGTGATAGCCCATCCAAAGTGACAACTCTTTACACAATGTGCATGGTAATCAAGTTGGGCCATTTCCTGCACAAATCCAGGTTCTCTCACCCCCTCACCCCCCTCCCAAAAACCACACACACAAACTCACTATCCTGCTGGTAATAGCTCATCCAAAGTGACCATTCTCCCTACAATGTGCATGATAATTAAGGTGGGCCATTTCCAGCACAAATCCAGGTTTTCTGACATCCCCCCCACCCCCATACACACACAAACTCACTCTCCTGCTGGTAATAGCTCATCCAAACTGACCACTCTCCAGTTAAACCAGAACATCGGGGGGGGGGGTAGGAAAAAACAAGAGGAAAGAATAAATGGACACAAATCAGATGTCAAGAATTATAACATTCATAAACCAGTCGGAGAACACTTCAGTCTCTCTGGTCACGCAATCACAGACATGAAGGTCGCTATCTTAAAACAAAAAAACTTCAAATCCAGACTCCAGCGAGAAACTGCTGAATTGGAATTCATTTGCAAATTGGATACTATTAATTTAGGCTTAAATAGAGACTGGGAGTGGCTAAGTCATTATGCAAGGTAGCCTATTTCCTCTTGTTTTTTCCTACCCCCCCTCCCCAGATGTTCTGGTTTAACTTGGATTTAAACTTGGAGAGTGGTCAGTTTGGATGAGCTATTACCAGCAGGAGAGTGAGTTTGTGTGTGTATGGGGGTGGGGGGATGTGAGAAAACCTGGATTTGTGCTGGAAATGGCCCACCTTAATTATCATGCACATTGTAGGGAGAATGGTCACTTTGGATGAGCTATTACCAGCAGGATAGTGAGTTTGTGTGTGTGGTTTTTGGGAGGGGGGTGAGGGGGTGAGAGAACCTGGATTTGTGCAGGAAATGGCCCAACTTGATTATCATGCACATGGTGTAAAGAGAAAAGGAGTACTTGTGGCTTTGGATGGGCTATCACCAGCAGGAGAGTGAATTTGTGTGGGGGGGTGGAGGGTGAGAAAACCTGGATTTGTGCTGGAAATGGCCCAACCTGATGATCACTTTAGATAAGCTATTACCAGCAGGACAGTGGGGTGGGAGGAGGTATTGTTTCATATTCTCTGTGTGTATATAAAGTCTGCTGCAGTTTCCACGGTATGCATCCGATGAAGTGAGCTGTAGCTCACGAAAGCTTATGCTCAAATAAATTGGTTAGTCTCTAAGGTGCCACAAGTACTCCTTTTCTTTTTGCGAATACAGACTAACACGGCTGTTACTCTGAAACCTGTCATTATGCTGCTGTTGAGAACAGGTGTATGCATGTATACAGTTAAACAATGAGTCATGGCCTGCAGGGGTGGAAGGGATGGTCTGCATACTGTGGATGGATCAGGCGATATGAAGCAAGCAAGAATGCTTCCAGCCTCCCAAGAAATGGCATAATCCACCTGCAGTGTCTGAGTGGATTTACGAGATGCAACTTATGAAAAGGATGTAAAGAACCACGATACTTTGGTCTTTGTTGGGCATTAATGAGGTGAATTCTTTTACCAACAATCAGAAAGGTGCATGTATAGAAAGTGCTCCAAAGCCATTCCATAGATCTACTGGTCTAATCCCTGCAGTAGGTAGGAAAATTAAGGCAGTGATTTCAGTGGGAGGATTTCAGTACAGTACATAAGCTTGTTGCAGGACCCCTAGCAGGGTCTGCCTCTGAGTCAGACGTTGGATCCAGGGTTCCCCAATTTCAGCTGGAGGCAGGAGAAGGAACAGTTGGCAAGGCTTGACATGGTGCTGTCTACAGGACCCAGTTATGCAGGTTTAAGGCATAGGCAAACTAAGTATGTGCCTAGGGCCCAAATTCATGGGGCAGGGCAAAGTGAACCCAGACTCCATTAACCCAATGGCAAGTCACTACCCCCAGGGACAAATACTTTGTAAGTGTAAATATTAAGCTACAGCACTGCCAACCCCAAGTGTTCAAAAATCATGAATCAGGCCTCAAAAAACATAAGATTGGCTCAAAAATGAGATTTTAAAAAACCCAAAACTTTTGGTTCTTTTTAGTTGCCTTCTGGTAGTTGAGTCTTTAGAGTCCACGTTTTCCATTTTTGCTCTGCAGACATCAGGGCTAGAAACTTATTTTTTTAAAAAAGCTGAGATTCTCCCATATTCATCTGACTCCAGGAGTTGGAGTTTTAAGACACACACCAGATATCATGAGTCTCAGAGTCATCTTGTTGTAAGCTCTAGGTGGTAAATTCTTTATAACTACTGTATAAATTAAATGTAAGCTAGCTCCAAAGATACAGCATTCAAGAGAACCACAAGATGATAGTTAATAGAGTGTCATCAGGGTAAGTTCTGTTTGTATGCATAATCTTCTGGTGCTGGTGTAAGCATTGTCAGGAAAACCAGAATGTTATACTCTAGAAGAGTGGGTGAGAGGCAGGAAGTGCAGTAGGTGGCAGATACCTCTTCATCATTTTGATTGACTGATGATTCCACCTATCTCAAGTTGCCAAAGCTGTACAAGGGAAAGGAGGAATGGCTGCAGGTTAAATTAGGTAACACTGAAAAGTCTGAAGTAAAATTATGCTCTGCAGCATCTGCACACAATGTATAAAGAATTCATGCTGATCGGGTCTAGAAGATACAAGGTGTGAGATCTGCAGGAAGAAGAGTCTATTTTCTTTCATTTTTTAAAATTGGTTTGCTGTTCTCAGTCATCCTTTACAATATCTGGAGGAGGCATGCTAACCTCTGCAGCTCTTTTAGATATTGAATTTAGCTGAAATAAAAAACTCCTGCCTTTCAGGGCTCTCTCTTCCCTGTATGTTTCCATATCCAATACCTTAGTCTTTCCTTTCTACAATTAGGTCTGATGACTGATTCACTGACAATGAGAGACCTAAAATATTAACCTCATTGTCACAGTTCAAGGCAACTGCATTTGTATTTCCCTGACATGGTAAACCAAGGGCACCTCTCTTGGGCAGAGACCCACATCTCACTCCCTTCTGACGAGGGATTTTAAGGCTGCACAGCTCCATGGCTTACACTGAGATATCGCCAGAAAGCCGGACTGCTTAAAAGCCAAGTGCCTGTGCTTTGCTGTCTCCCTGAGGGCTCTGACCAGTGTATCACCCACAGTGTCAAGTGACCACACAGCTCCTTCTAAGCAAGCACATTTATTCTTAAGGTAAAAGCATTACAGAGAAACCATATTAAAACAATACAAGAACCTACACCTGTGCTAGAATGCTTACCAGAGATCACCCCCAAGTCCAGCCTAGGGCTCTGGTAGGTTTTAGTATTTCAGACCCACAACAGGGTTTTCCCAATGGAAACGGGTTCATCTGTCTTAGATCCAGAACAGAGATCAGAACAGATCAGCTGTTTCTTTGTACAGCTCCAGCCTTTGATCTCAGGCTTCTGTAACAGGTAATTAGCAGACAGTGACCCTCTCCTCAAGGCATAGTGTCCAAACGGGTTTTTGCATAACCAGAACTGCGGAATTTGTATTAATTTCTCCCTAGGGATTCCCGAGGAAACCCACTTCACACTTACTGTCCCTAAAGTCCATACTTCTCTAGTTCATTTCCAATTTAGTCTTGTAAACTCCCAGGTCTCACATCTGTCACATCTCCCCCCTAGAATTGTTACATACAATTCCAGCCCACAATAATACATAAATGTAATATAATAAGGTCTTTCAAGGATATTGCAGGAAATTGCCATATCTGTCACACACAGCACTTAGTGGTTTCGTAGCTTAGCAGAATACATCATGTGTAGGGCTCCGTGTTTCACAGAGGTCGCAGAAGTCACGGAATCTGTGACTTCTGCGACCTCCGTGACTTTTGCAGCGGCTGGTGTGGTTGACCCCAGGGCCGCCCAAGCACCTGGCCCTGGGGCTAGCTACTCAGATGGTCCTGGGGCCAGCTACACTGGCCACAGTTGGAGCGGCTCTTCAGCCAGCCGCTTGGGCGGTCCCTGGCCCCGGGGCCAGTCGCACTGGCCGGTGCTCTGGTGACCCTGGGCAGCTGGCTCTGGGGACCGCCTGAGCAGCAGTCCCAGGAGCAGTGGGAGCAGCCACAGCTTGGCGGCTCCTGGCAGTGGTCCCAGGCGGCTGGAGCAGCGGCTGGCCCTGTCCGTTCTCCCCCCAGCAGCGGCTGGAGCAGCAACTGGCTCCCTGGGGCTCTCCCTCCAGCGGTGGCCAGAGCAGTGGCTAGCCCCCTGAGACTCCTCCCCCCCCCCCCCCGGTAGCTGGTGCCATGGGCTCCTGCTCCCCCCTGGCAGCGTCCCCCCCCCAACATTCAATCATGTGTATTTATGGTATAAGTCATGGACAGGTCACGGGCTGTGATTTTTTGTTTCTTGCCCATGACCTGTCCATGACTTTTACTAAAAATACCTGTGATTAAATAATAGCCTTAATCATGTGTTGTCGTTAAGTGTGAGATAATTGGCTCCCAAGTTCTAGATCTGGTAAAAATGATGGGCTTACCACTGGAGGGATGTATGCATGCCCATCAACTGCAGAGTAGTCACATGTGTGAGTCAGTGGCTTTAACTGCACACTACTCCAGGGTGCACTTGATTTTTTTTTAAACCCTCCTACCGTAAATAGCAAGCACGGCATTTATTTCTGATTCCAGGGGTTGCATGACAGAGAATACCAAAGCCCTTATCTGGAGGTTATTTCAGTAGTGCCATGGAAGGTGCAGTCATAATCAGCAGGCTGACTGAGCTGCATTTTGATTTTTGGTGAAACAAAATTGGTGCTGAAAAACATGTGTCTGGTAGAGTGGGCATATGCTCTTCTTTCTGTGCTTTACAAAGACGTCCCTTCTGCTTGCTCTGTCCTTGTAGGAATGCAGACTCCGTCTTACAGTTCTGGTCCAGATGGAATATCCCCGCCCACAAGTGGCTAGACAGGTACAAAAATGAGTCCTGCATTTCCCAGTTAAGATTCAGCGTCAGTGAGGAGATGAAATATTGCTGCTGGGAATCCATAATAATAATAATTGATTTCCTTTGTGAAGGATTAAATCACCATGAATGGGCCTGTTTGCCTGCTGTATCACACCAGCAGATCTGCTGGCTTGAAATTTAACTCTCAGGCATTGCAATTAAGCCTTGACATTTAAGCATAATTAATGGGTGATCTTTAAATTTCAGGTGGTCGTGGAGGAATAGCAGGGTGCTGGAGGAAATGTAACAGTTTTGTTAAGTTAAACACTTTAAAATAATTGGAAGGATCTAGCATATGCTGCTGAGAATGGGATCTTCAGGAATAATACAGCAACCCTATAGACCAAATCCTGTCCCCTCTGCAGTTGCAGGGGGTTCTGATCTGTGCAGTTCCAGTTGTGGTGGATGCAATTTGGGAACCTTCTCCTCATCAGGGAATGTGGAACCCTTTTACATCACAGACCTCTGCTCCATGAGGGTTTCCTTGAGACTTCACCCCAATGTGTAGATGGTCAGGGATGGGCCAGGGAATGTGCAGTATGGTGGATCTGCCATTCTATGGATTTCCCAGTCACTTTCCCTGTGCAGATGGGATATGTTGGCCACAGGGGCTATTGAGAGAGGTTGGGAGAAAGGATTCCTTAGCACTGAGATTCCCCAGCATGCAGCCCAGCTATCCCAGCTGTACGCGGGCTCTGATCTGGTTCTACATCTCAAACAGGTAGAGTCTGTGTCTATTCAGTGTCCATTGAAACTGGTAGCTCTTATAGTACCTTCTGGTGCAGGTTCAAAACGCTAAACAGGTGGCTGTGTTCCAACCTAAAAGCCTCTTTAACTTTGGGAGGATAGATAGTGACCTGTTAGTCCACTGGGGCCTGTGCTAAAGTGACTCCTGCTCCCCGTGAAGCCGGTACTGCTCCATTCACACATTACCTGGGCATAACCTGAGAGTTCCTTGTTGTGATGGTCTAAGCCACGTTAGCAGGGTAACAAATCTGAAGAGCTGTGTAATCTTTCTAACTCCGACGGTGCAGAGAATCAAACACCCTGACCTCCTTAACGCTGCCCACCACCAACGTACTGCGCAAGAAGCAGGGCCACTCTTATAGGTAAAAGCTATTGCCAAGATTTTCAAAAAGGGGGTTCTACGCTCACATTTAGGCAGCGAAATAAGTGGCCTGATTTTGATTCAGCTGACTTCAGTGGCAACTACTGCTGCTCAGCACCTTTGAAAATCAAACCAGGCCACTCATTTTCAGTACCTTCCTGAAAATCTTGGCCTCTTTGTGTAATTGTATTTTCGATGCATGTTCATTAAAAGATATGGAGGAACCACTAAGCTACTAAGATCCATGTGGAAGCTCACAGGAAAGTCAATGGAGGTTGCAACTTACCAGCAACAGCCATTTCAGTGCAGTTACTCTTCTCCCTAGCTCCTTCTGTCACTGCATAGGGCTAAAGGGCAGGAAAATAATAAATAGTGCTTTTGTTAAGTCAAAATAGTTGTCCTGTGGACCAAACTCTGCACTTATTTACTGGTGTAAATCTGGAGTATCTCAGCTGACTTCAGTGGAGTTACTCTGGTATAAGATACATAGACAGCTCTGTCAGACTAACACTGATACTAATGGCTGACTGCACCAGGAAACAGTGTAAGTAACTCTTTTTCTTTTGGCTTGTGTACATAGACATGTATACAGGCCCTTGCTGCATCACGGCTATGACAAGTGGCAGGCCCGAATGACAGTATTCCTACTCTCTGCATGTTTCTATGAGGTAGGTCACAACAGCACTGATCTAAGCATCAGCAAGGGGGCACTGTCCTGAGACCACAAATGACTGTCATTGACTTTTAACAGATCACTCACTCAAACTGCGAAATCTGCGAAGATTCTAATGGTCTCTCTTCAATAAGAGTCTCTTCTACAGACCCCAATCTGTGCTGTGTGTGCTGGGTATGCTAGCTGAGACGCATTTAGCATATGGGACTAAATGGATTGGCAATGTCAAAGGCGGTGTAAGTTAGACAGAAAATGGGTTTAAGTGCCAAAGTAGGCTAAGCTTCACCAGTCGAATCCATCAGTTGTGCAAGGAGTCTCACTCCACTTCGTCAGACAGTGACCCCGGGCCTCATAAGGGGTGTGGCTGTAAAATGGGGTGTGGTCAGTTAAAAAGAGGGCATGGCCAGAGGAAAGTGCTACTGAGACAGGTTAGCAGGTGTAGACATGCCAATTTCCCAGCCTAGAAAATTTTCCGGAAAAATTAACTCCTTGAATATGGGACTTTTCCCCACTGAAAAATACGTCACTAGTAACTGATGATCCACGCCGTGCTGAGGATGCTCTGTTTTCTTTGCAGGTCTGTGCAGCTTTCCTCGTTCCAGTTTTCTCTAGGGCTATCCCCCATTTCAGGGCTGAACTCTAGCACTGGGCCCCTGGGACATTCCATTGTTTTAACAGTCCATAACAAAGGTTCTGGGTCACTCTGTATCCTGCACTGTCACTGTGAGCCCAGTTCTGAAGAGCCTGCTCAGGTGTCTGCTCATCTGGACTCATGAAGCCTTGGGGGATAGTAGATCAACCCTATTCCTGCAGACGGTGGGTGGCCACATGACCTGTTACCTAACGCACCTGTCACAGCCTCTTTTGCCTCCATGGCCAGGGTGCAGCATAGGTGCAGTTACTGCTGCTCTGGACACCAGAAACACCTGCCTTGCGACTGTCAGAGACTGTCATGGGGGAACTAGGCCCAAGGCTGACAGGCCCCTGGTCAGAGACAGCCCAGCAGCTGTGCAAGCCATGCTGCTGCTGCTGCATGCAGGGCTGGGGCCAGAGGGCTAAGGAGGCTTCCCTGTGTATACTCCTGGTTCTTGGCATTTAGCTGTCCCAGTGACAGTGCTTTAGAACTGGACAGAGCACGTGAGCTCAGGCTGATGCCAGCAATGCTGGCTGTCCTGTGCCCCACCCTGGTCCCTATGGTCAGTGCATTAGGCTGGTAGTTCTTTACGAGCTCTGCATCTCAGAAGGCTTTCTTTCCCCTTCTTCACTCCTTTGACTATGAAGGAAATGTATCAACATCACTCCTTCCTTAGGAAAAAGTCCTATTGAAGCCGTGTCAGGATCAGGCCCTTCACACTCCACTGCTTATTATAGTAAAGAGCAGAGTCTTATAGTCTCATTCAGGGCAGTGCGCCTCAGATCCTTGCTTTTGTCTTTTTCAGTATCTAATTGCCATCCCACTGAAGATGTTCCGGTTTTGGATGTTTTTTGCTATGGCAGCCCAGGTATGCTAAGATGGAAACTCTGCCAATGAATGTATATCTAACAGGGAGTGGTTACCAAGCTCTTTGTACTGTTGCTGCTAACTAGCGATGATCTTTATAATTAAGGCATGAAGCTTTTTAGTTTAAACCACGAGTGAAAGCTTTGCCAAGCCCAGGGTTTCTGGTGAGCATTGGGCAGGCTGTTCCTGCCCGCCATAGTTCACGCTGCGGAGCTACACTACAAAATGTTTTTGAGCTGTCGCTTTCTGACATGCAGTAAAGATGCTAAAAAAACCTGTACCCCAGTTTTATTTTTATGGCAAAAAATGCCAAACATCAGAAATCTTGGCTTATAAACCCCTCCGAGAGAAATCTTTCCTTGTTCTTTGGTTTCTTTGGTATAATGTTTAGAGCCATTGGCGATCTGAGAAGAAATGTACCAAATTCTGCAGTAATTTAACCCTGAACAGTTTATAAAATCTTTTTAAGCCAACAAGAAAAAACCTTATTGTGGTCTTGTAACCAGCTCAGTGAAACTCGCTCAGGCCACGTACACTATAGTTCCACCTGGTTTTAAAACCTGTTGAATTTTGAGGGTTAATTTCCTCAGTGTAACGATCGCTCTTTTGCTGTGATGGTTTCTGTGGTGCAGAATTTGTTCCCCCCTGAAATCTTATTTAATCTCTCCCTACCTTTAAAAACCATCTTCAAGCCTTTCTGTTCCAACAGTGACTTTTAGTCTGACATCTGTTGGCTTTCTGTACAGGACCCTTTCCTTCTCCTTGTGACTGCTTAGCTGTTAAGCTATTAGCAGGTGGTCTCTTTAATGATTTTTAAAAAAATTTAATTATGCTGTGCACAGACCCAGGACACTTTGGCAAAGGGAAGTGTTAGAAAGAAAATGAGACGTTGTTATATAAAAGTCCATTCATTTTGAACCTGTTCTCTAATTAAGGGCACTTGCACCATTTAGAAAACGGTAGGAACTACTGGGAAGAATGTTGTTAGTGACTTGTGTTTGCTTCTCCCTACAGGTCCCACTGGCTTGTCTAATGAAAAGGCTTTTTGGTGGTAATTTTGGCAACATCTTCATGTGGATCAGTCTGGTCTTGGGTCCTCCCCTCATGATGCTCTTGTATTTTCATGACTATTACATCCAGCACCATCGGAAGGATTCAAGCTGGAGACTGTTTTTTTTCTAATCGACCCCAGTCCTAGTTCCCTTGTGCTCTCTGTCTGTCTGTCTTTATGTATGACAGAGGCACCTAAACTTGGCTCAAATTAGAACCACAGACTGAAGCCACCCTTTTCTTTAATATGGGAGGGGTGGCCCAGGCCTGCAATGCTCCTTCTGGCCACTAGGCTGGAGATATAGAATTGCATGCTGGTCTCCCCCGCATATTGAAGATGAGTGAGTGCAGAGCTCTGTGGGCCACATGTATTTGTTTACTTTGGCCACCTCTGATCCCTTTGTCTCTTCAATAGCAAGTTGATCTTTGGCTCCTGCAGGATTGACTTTAAAGAATACCTGCAAAAGTCCGGTAACAGCTCTGGAGATAAATATACATTATAGTGGATGCTCTTTATTCATATTAAAATCCTGCTGTTTATGATAACATCTTGCCTGAGAAATGAATTTAAGAATCAGGTAAAACCTAATACTGTTTCCTTGCTTTTTTCATCCAATGATTTAAATGGGAGAGTTGAATTAATGAGGAGATAATGTCAATTGAACAGAAGGTTGAGAATGGGCTCCTGCAACTAGATAAATGCAAAGGTGAAGCCAAGACATTTCTGTTCACAGCAGGAGACATCACAGGTTTATTAAACTCATTCTCTCTCTTTTATCCCATGTGACTGCTGTATAGTAGGGATAATTATTTTGGGCCTAGCTCTGCCACCCTTGCTTGTATTGAACACTTCCCTTGCTCCTCAAGTAGTCCCAGTAAACTCAGGGGGACTGCTTGCAGAGTGCTGTTCGACTCAGTGGAATTAAGGGTGGCAGCTTCGAGCCCTTTGTATGCAGTAGTAGTGTGGCAATTGCTAATGGATGACTGACTGCCCTGAATGCATCACGTCTTCCTAAGGTGTGGGTTTCACGTTTCCCATGCAGGACAGACAACTACCTCCTGTCTCCAGACCTGTGTGCGGAGGGGACAGGGTGGAACTTACATCACACCCCGCATCCCCATGACCAACCCAGCTGAGGCTCCAAGTACAGTATTCTCATGACAAAGAAGCTGTGTGTTGCTATTTGGGGGCAGTGAAGTGGGTGGAGTTAGAAAGCAGCCATTTGGCAGGGAAGTAGCCCCGAGACGGTGCCTTGCCCTGTTCTGAGGAGAATCCCTTTGAATTTGGCAAGTGAGGAGGCTTTGAGGATCAGATTTCACGCAGGATCAGTAGATGGTTTTACCAGTAGGCATGTATCAAGGATCACCAGATGTACTAATGGGAGTTAGCTTTCACAGCACACACAACAGTAACCAGTAGGTGGTCAAAGCATCCCTGTTCAGGAAAGCACTTAAGCCCTTGCTGAACTTTACAACTTGGGCTTAAGTACTTTCCTGAATGAGGCAAAGCTATTCTGAACCTGCCTGGCCTCATTCTTTGTCTCCCTTGCTGCACCGTATGGTGAGGCCAACATTTTCATACATGGGTGCCAACAGCGAGGCACCTGAACCCAGGTTTGTTTATCATTATCATTCTCTGTATTACCGTAGTGCCTAGGCGTTCCAGTTGCAGACCAAGACCCCATGGGGCTGGGTACTGGACACGCAGCACAAAGAGACAGCCCGGCTGCAAGGAATTAACAGTCTACGGCAAGAGACAGTAGATGGGTACAGACAGGGGAGCACAAGGAAACGGAGAGACAGGACTGGTCAGCAGGATGGACGGTGGTCTCAGCACAACAGCCAGCTGCATGGGCACCTAATTCAGCAGCCTGTTTTTCCAGCACCCGTTGACAACTGTCAAATTCCTTCGATTAGATTTGCTTAGACTGTAAATTCTCTGGGAGCGGGAGCAGTAATATCAGAGTTATTCCAAATACACACTGAAGGGAGAGGACAGTCAGGCCCGGTGTGCACAGGACAGATGACGTAGGGGAACGAGGCGCTCAGTGAACAGTGAGGGTGAAGAGAATTTCTTAGAAAGCACTGATTACAACCAGTGGATTTATTTTAACCAGTGTAATAATCCATTTCCCCCAACGATGATCACTGAGTAGTGGCCTTCCTCTTTGCTTCTGTTGGAAGAAGTTATTTAAACAGAAATGTCTCGCCACTCCCTCGCTCACTGGGCACTGTCTAACCGTGTCCGGGCCGGGAGTGTGCAGTAGCGAGAGCACATGAGCGTTTAAGGAAAGCCCCTCTCTCAGTGCGAGCACACAAAGGCACAGTGCGGAGGCTGTGGGCTTTGCCATCTCCTGGGCGTCACTGCAATTGGAATGCTTTTTGAACACAGGTTTTCTTAGGGAATCTGGATGTATAAAAAGAACCATTCACACATTTCAGGCACATCCACGGGGATGTTAAGACATACGTGGTCTGGCCTTCAGAGGGGCTGAACCCCAGCAGTTACCATCGACTTCTGCACCTCGGAAAAGCACTCCTAACGGGCGGCTAAAAGCAGTTAAAGGCCAAGGAGGGCCCATTACTTACCCTGACCCCTCACCTTCTGTAAAGGGGGGTTAGGGGCTCCAGCTGCTTTTTCACTATCTCCATATTTACACCGATGATGATTTCAGCATAGCTGGCAACATGTGGACGTTTTAGATGCATTCCAGGGGAATATGAAAAATATTCTTGCTGCATGTACGTAGGGCCTTTTGGGACACCAAAGCTGCTGAAAATGTGACACACCCCTCTCCCTGCTTTAACCAGTCTTTGTTCTCTGGCCCTTTTTTCCCTTCCTGTCCTCTTTTCTCATAGGAAGGGCAGGATTTGTAAGGGTGTTTCAGAGCAACACAGAACCCCTGCAGGCTAGGAGCGGCAGGCAAAAGAGCAGATGGGTTTTCCATCCAGGGAGGTTTTTAAAGATGGGCAGTTGTGTAAATCAACCATGTGTCAACTATCCTGAAATATATCTGCACTTGCTCCGAGTCACTGGCCCCTCCTGGCTGCACCACTTCTTCATTACAAGGTCACCCTGTGTCCCGAAGATGAATGTCATCATCTCAGCAGGTGTGACATACTCCCGGTGTATATTTTCTAGTGGGAGAAATGTGTCAATCAACAGAAACACACTGGGAAGTTTCTGAGGCCTTCCTATCCTTGTATTCCAGTCAGCCATGAGATAATGAGCGTTCACCGCAGGGCTTCCATATCTGCCATTTCTCTCATTGTGCAGTCAGTGTATTCGGAGCAAAAATAAACCAATTCATCATGGGACTGGATGCTTCAGGCAACTGGTGGTGAGAGATGGGACCTTTCACATCTAAGACACCGTCCATGGCAGTAGTAGCTGAAAGCTGGTACCTTCTGGTGGGTGCTCAATAGTCCATGTGGAATAAGGCTGTAGTCTCAATCTAGTTCCTGGTGGAAACTTGTCTGCATCACAAAACCATCACCGTAGTCAGCACAAATCAACACCTGTGCTGGCAGATAGTAGAAGGGCTAAGGAACAGATGGGTAAAGAGGCACCTGTCATCCCTACAGGCCAGGCCATGGGCTACTGTAGGGGAATCTCCACCGCCACTCCTTGTGTTGGACTTGATCTGTGGATCGAGGGCGTGAGTCTCCAAGTCCCTCAACCTGGCACATTTCATGAATGCTAGAAACAAACAAAAAAAAACCCTGTCCATCACCCTTGAGCAAAAGACGAAGGGACTGTCTAACAACTCAGTTCATCTCCAGCAGCTGTTTACATTGTGGCTGGATTCAGAAAAACCCCACTCAGAAGCTTTTCCTTTACAGCTGTGGGCAGGAAATTCTTATGGAAACTGCAGGGATCCTGGTACATTTGGCTGGCTGCATGAAAATCTTTGCCTGTTTGCATCTTAAATAAGTACATTTTAAACAAGGAAGTTGCCAGTTCCTGGCTTGCCTGCAGGCTGAATGCTTCCATCTGTAAAACTCGCTGAAAGTCACTGAGCAGCATGAGAAACTTACACACTTCCACCAGTGCTCATGGAGGCATTTCTGCAGGGCACCCTGCCGAGACTTCAGAGCTGAGTCAGAAGGGGCTGTATCTGAGATCTGCCCTTAAAGGTCACCAGGAGCAATGTTTTTCGGTGATAAGGCCAGCAGTGAGGGGGATGTGATTTTAATCTAGAGATGCAAAGCAGCCTCACAGAGCCGATAATTTAAGAGGCAGGGCACAGATGTATAACTGCACAACAGGGGTACAGAGTTCTGGGAAATAAGTAGAAACCAGTTTTTAAACGTCTCACTTTGTTTTGTTAATTTAATCTAGGTTTTTGTCCTGTCAAACGTAGTAAGTAAAATGGCTGCATTTATTTTGCCAGGTGGAAAACCAAATGAATGCATCTCAGAAGCCAACTGGAGACAGTCCTGTGTGTACCATTTTTGCTGGGTTAGTGGGTTTCCAGGATCAATAGATTTTTATTGGGTAGTTCCTATTGTAATTGTTAAATCTTTCCTGACACTCAGAATGAGCCCAAAACATGATAAAGCACAAGGGGACATTCAGCCAAGTAGATCAGTTGTTTGGACGAATGCTCTTAACCCTCTCAGTCTGAATAGAGACGGCTTGGTGCCCTGGGTTGGCTTTCCTAACTGCAGCCTTTCAATTCCAACTTCAGTAGGATGACAGGTGGAAGCAGGGCCACAGGCCTGTCTACATACAGGAGTTATGCTGGTTTATCTAAAGAGGGGTTTTAAACTGATTAATTTATAGGCTAGGGCTTCACTGCCAAAAAGGTGTGTTTCTACCACAAGAGAGCGAGCCCGCATTAGCTGTCTCCCTGCAAAATCCTCGTGGAGACAAGGCAGAGGCCGATTCTCTTAAAAAAGTTTTTAACAGCCAGTCACAGTGTGACCTGCCCTTTAAGGGAAGATGAACCCAGCCCCACCTGTGACTGATCAGCTCGCTGCCTCCTAGGTGAAGCTGTGGGGCTAGGGATCAGGTGATCCCCTAGGAGCACCTGGGTCTTATAAAGGCCAGTGAGCGCTCAGCTGAGCCAGAGAACTGCAGGGAGTAGATTGCTGAAGCAGAGGAAAGATTCCTGCTAGTAAGTGATCCCCAGGCAGATGACCTTGTGAGTGAGAACTGTAGGTGTCCTGGGGTCCAAGCAAGGACTGGAGGGGCTGAGGGGAAAATCTTTGGGCATTTGAGCCTATATGGGGCAGAGGACCTGCTTTATTTGGGTATTTTGCTTGTGTGTTCAGTTTAACTAGTAAACTGTGCTCTGAGGCATGGCCTGACGCAAACTCTGGCACGGCAATGATTCTTTGGTTGCTGGTAAGGCTGCTTACGCGGCCCTGTACGTGAACAAGCTGCTCTGTGCTTTGCATCGTCCCTGCATGAGAAGCTGTCTCTGTCAAAGCTCAGCTGTGAGACTGTTTAATTTGGTGGTCTGCAGTCTCAACTGCTGCTCATGGAGACAACATCCTCTCCCTCTAACCTCAAGGAAGTCTCTACAGTGACAAAGCAGCAAGCCGGGCTCCCTCCGGCTGAGCCAGCATAGAAGCAGCAGTGAGAGTTTAAAAGAGGCATCTCCTGGGTCTTGTGAAATGCTGAGCCTCCCTTAAGGACATATAAAGAGATGTTGCACCCTGATTCCACTAATAGAGACACTCCATAAATGGAACAATTTAGTAAACGCTTTCCCTCTAAACGAGCTTAGTGGCAGATCCCTCAGAAGTATCCATCACACCATAGGCCTGCTCTGACAAGCGACTCTAGAAATGGCACCATGGGGCTCTGGGTTTATTGTCCATGGTTTCCGTAATAAATGTGCTGAGTTGAAAAGTAAGATTGCTAGCCCTGCCCGCTGAACCTTGCATGGCAGAGTCAAGCTGGGTTCTTTCCTTCTTGCACATCATCACCACCACCAATAAAGATGCTGCCACCCAAATTGTCTGCCCTTTGTTACATCCGTGCACCCCTCCTGCCTTCAATAAGCAGGCTGGACTTTACTACATCGCTCTGTGGGTGATGCATGAGATGGGACAGATTCCAGCTGAGTGGCCGCTGCAGGGATAAAGTACAACAAATGCTTATTTTTTTAGCTGAACTGAGCAGATCTGACTCTGAGTTCACACAGGGAGCCGGTGTAGGAGGCAAGAAGGAGCCCCATTTTAAGGCTCCTTTCCCCCTGCTTTAAACCCACCAGTCAAGGCTCTGTTTTAAACATGCCATCCTTCCTGTTGGAGGACTAGGCAAAGGATTCGATCTGGAGCATCTCATTTCTGCGCCTTACTCTGCCAGGGTGCCTGTTGATGAATTACAGAAGACGCACCTCTTAGATTGCTGTCAGGGTGGTGCCCCCCACATCTCCCCCAGTTTACGCTGGCCTGAGGCGTGAGAGCAGAAGCTAGATTCTGATCTCCATTCCCTTGGTTCAGTGTGAATACAAAGTTCCTTTGTCCGGGTCGCGGAGTGCACGCAGCCCTCACACCAGCGTAACTGGGATCAGTACCTGCCCCAGGGACCATGAGTCACGGCCCAGTCTCTAGAATGGCAGTGCTAAGCCGTGGGCTGGCCCTACCGTTTTCAAACCGCTCTTTGATGGGAATGAAAGAAGATCCCTTCCCCACGCCCCCGTGCAGGCTGAGAGCGTCTCACCAGCTGGCTGCACATTGCAAATGGGAACTGAATACCGGCCCGGGCTGCTGGTCTCTATTTGGATGGGGGGGGATTGCACACCTAGTGCTAATCTGAACAGAAGAGTTGGGGGATTTTCATGCTTCCTGGTCCTGTCGCCAAGCCCCAGACTGCTCGCTGAGCTACCCTGGGGCACCAGGTACCGTGCAGCGGGTCTTAAACTGGCTGGCTTTAGCCTCCTCCCTACGCACGGCTGGAGACGCCATGGCAACGGTGAGCGAACAGTGGCTGCTTATGCAGCCGCAGAACCCTGCCATCTCCCAGGGTGCCCTGCTCCGTGGCCCGGCCGAGGTGCCCAATGACTTCTGGGAGCCAGGGCTTGCGAGGCCAAGCGACCCCCACCTTCTCGCTGTGTAAAGCAGCTGCCGAGAGGAGAACAATGCAGAGGAGACCGGGGCCAAGGCGGGTGGCGGGGGAAAGGTGGGGCTGGAAGTGGCTGGGGGAGGTCCGTCTGTTCTCTGCTGGGGAATCGGGGCCCACGCTAGCCTATGGCAAGGCTGGCCCCAGGGTTTTGGCGAGCGGGACGACGGCGAGGGAAGGCGGAGGCTTTGGAGACGGTGTCGGTGAAGAAGCAGGAGTCTGGCTGGGGAGAAGGAACGGGGAGCTGAAGATGATCAGAGCGGTGATGGAGAATACGCTGGAGTGAGGCAGCCAGCCGTGGGAGCTGGTTTCTGTGAGAAGGAACACGACCCAGTAGGCCCTGCCTCGCCGTCTGTGCAGCCCCCTGACCAGTGGGGCGAGTCCAGCACGGGTTGGCCCTGGGTTCGCCCCAGCAAGGCTGCATGGTGGACATCTGGACGTGCAGAGCCGGGACGGCTCGGGGGAGAAAACGCCGTTTCCAACTCGGCCGGGGGGACAAGCAGAGGCCTGGGCCTCCTAGCGGGAGGAAACACGAACAACCCCTCTCTGCGCTGTGTGGCTGCCTTTGCAGGGGCCGAGGCAGTGCTGAGATGGTCAGGCAGCCAAGGTGCACCATGCAGGTGATGGCAGGAGGGAGTGATTGTCCTGTGGTTTCCCTAGGGGTCCGGGCCGCACGGGTCCATCTCTTTGCCGGGGCAGCAGGACGAGAGGCCTGGTGCTGCTATGGCTGTGCATTTCCCGCTCCCCGGCAGCTGGTGAGTGAAGTTGTGTCTGGGAGATGCGACCTGACCATTGCACTCCCCAGCCAGTGCCTTCAGCTTGCTCCCAGGGGTGACGGAGCCTGGGCCCAGCCCCAAGTGAGGCCAGCAATTTGGACAGCTGGTACTCATGGGACGGTGGCGCTGCCTGACGGGCCTGCTCAGATCTCAGGAGGCACCAGCAGCAGCCACTCACTAGTGAATAAGTCGACAGGGGCCAGGGCGGGAGAAGGGAGGCAGAGCATGAGAGAAGCAGAGGAAAGGATGGGGTACTAATGGAGGAAAAGCAGAGAGGAGAGGGTGGTAATAGACTGGGAAGCACAGGTCTGACGGGTCCCGAAAGGGCCCCAGAGGGACCGTGCCCTCCATTTGCTTTGCAGGATGTGGTACGCAGATGAGCTTGACACCATCTAGTTCCACGCAGGCGTTTGCAGCTGTGGGGGAATTCCCCTGGGTGGTGTCAATTCAGGACCTACAGCACAACCATCTGGCCTTTGGCGCCATCCTGAGCAAGCACTGGATCCTGAGCGCTGCATCCAGCTTTCAGACAAGGTATGATGTGCCATGGCGCTCTTCGACCATAGCTCCGTTCGACAGAGGGAGGTTGATGCCTTGTGGTGCGGGCTTGCTCTCAACTCTGGAGGACGCTGCTTCTTGGAGGTCCTCCTTGGAAGGAGGCTGCCAGGAGCACCCAGTTCCTCAGAGCATTACCTTCCATGTTCTGAACCAGTGCCCCCGGCACAGACTTGACAGGCAGGCTTTGGCTCAGTTCCTGGTCTTTGTCTACAGCAATCAGAAGATTAAATGATCTCTGACTGACTGCTGAGTAGCTGGAGCTGCTCGTAGCGAGGCTGCGGCTGTAATGAACTTCCAGTGAAATGGAGACTGCGCTAAGCACACGGTTCGCTGCGCACTGCCGCCATTTGCACTGGGCTCTTCTTCCCACCTTTCGGCCCCTCATGTGTTTAGTCCTCTGAGAAGATCTGCTCTGGTTTGGAAGGCCAGGCAAGAGATTGTGAGGCTTCCTCTCTTCCCTTCTCCCTCGCTCAGCGACAAGGGACAGAAAGCTTGCACCCCGCCTCTTTTCCTGGGCTGCCTTCTACCCTTCCTCTGCACACGCCACCCAGCTGCTGGCAATCCAGGGTCCACCCTGGTGATCCGGACACTGTGCCAGCGTTCAGTCATCGGATGCTCCGCATTCCAGCCTGCCCCTCCCAGACACAGTACAACTAGGCCCCAATCCTCCCCTCTGATGTGGCGCTCTGCTGGTGTAAAGCTGGCAGTGGGGGAATCCCTGGGTATCAGAGCTGCTATGGCATCTCCTGTGCCCCCCAGCTCCATTCCCCTGCTGCAGGAGGCATGGCTGAGGGAAAGGGGGCGCAGGGTATGTGGGTGGCCAATGTCTCCCTACTGCCAGAATAGCCCCTGCAGACTGTGCAATTTACAGCAGTCCTTAGACTACATGTCTAAGGGACCAGACTGGGGCTGGGCCACCCAGGTCTGGGGGGATGGTGGCATAAAAATCACCTTTGCACACATCTCCCTCCTGAGTTGTGCTGGGATCTGGACCCTGAGCCATCAAATCGAAGGCACGGAGCCCGATTCTGATCTCGCACTAGGTTTGCACCAGGATAAACTGCTTTGACTAGTGGCCTCAAGTCTTCCCGTAGCTGGTGTCACCCTGCACCCTTTGAGCTGTCACATTCCCACTGCCAAGGGGCTCTCAGTTCCCAGAGCTCTTTGCACGTCTAAGGCTCCTCTGGTCTCTCTTCAGGCATCCAGCTTTTGCCGAGGTTCGTATAACGGATCTGAACATGCAGAGGAAGACCCAGCCCCAGTACTCCATCAGCACCATCGTTCCCCATGAAGACTTCAACGAAATCACGCTGGACAAGAACATTGCCCTGCTGAAGACGGCCACCCCAGTAGAGTTCAGTGATGCTGTTCAGCCCATCTGCTTCCCCAGCAGGAACCTCACCGCAGCCACCCTGGAGAACTGCTGGGTGTCCGGGTGGCTCCACCCCACGGCAGGTAACCCCTTCCTTTTCCTGGGTGACATGTACGAGACAAGGGCACAGGCCTAGTTTGACTGCTATATTTGGGGGGACAGCTCTAGCCAGGCCAATGGAACCATGGGGGGAGTATGGGGGGGGAGACAGACGAACGAATGTGCACACACGCTGAAGCCAGTCCCCCTGGGTCTCTCCCCTGTGCCTGGAGTGGCGGGTGCAGCTGCGGCAGGCTGCACATTACCTGGGCTGCTGGTTTAGCGGGGCAGCCCCAGCTGCTGCTGTCCGCTGTGGGGACCTGAGTGCGGGAGCTGCGGGTGCTCTGGCCCCAGCTGCTACAGCAGGACTCGATGCCGCTGCTTTTCTAGTGCCTCCTGGTGCTGCTGCCAAGCGCCCATCCTGGTGAATTATGTTAAACGCACCGAGCCTCACCCCCCAACCACGGCACCCCCAATAAGGCTGGCCCTGTTGGGGGGGGGCAACGCCCATGGAGCAGGGTGAACCTCAAAAGCTGCATTCAAAAGTCTGGGTGCTTTTAGAGAGACTGCAAAAGCCAATCAGACCTGCTGGCTTCTTCCAGCTAGAAGAGCCGGTGAGACACCAGGATGGTGACTTGCCTTATAGCAACTGGGGCTCTTCAAGAGGTCTGGTCTGCGTGGATGCCACTCGGGGTCAGCATGTACCTCGTGCACCTGCAGGTCCTCGCAGATCAAGAAATATGGTCAGGGTATGAAATCCAGTGCCGAGTAGTGGGGTGGGGGGGCCTTTGGTCTGGGTACATGGTGCAGCATCCCAACTCCAAAGGCCTTTGTTTTCTTCTCCTCACCATAAAGCCACGTGCCCTCTTGGGGGGCAGGGGTGAGGGGGAACAGTGCTCCCCAGGGAGTTCAGTTAGATCCATTTCTGCTCAGCAAGCAGCAGCTGCTAGGAAATGGATTTGAGTCTCGGGGCTGGGGGGGGGCAGTGCCCCCAGGAGATGCCAGAGCCCTGTTTCAAACCCAGCTCTCCCATCTGCCGGCGCAGGGACCTAGCCCTGCCCACCCGGCAAGGCTGATCCCCGTGGGACTGATCCCCGTGGGACTGAAGCAGGTGGCTCTCCTTTTAGCCGGCTGGGCCCGCCAGCGGGAAGAAATGCAGCATGTGGCAAGGCCACTTCAAGGTCCTAGGCCCGAGACCGGGGGCCTCTGATCTCTTGGTGTCTTGGCTCGGACAGGAAGGCGCGCGGCAGCAAGCTTTCTAAGGAAGCTCTCAGTCGTGGATGTGGATCCCTGCCCCTTGAAGAGAATCGTTACCACCGAGTGCAGCAGCCACAGGGACTCCGACAATGTGACTGGCTGTTTGGTAAGGAGCTCGCACTGATCCAGCCACAGACTCTGACACAGGGTGCGAACTACGGGGGGACGTGAGCTCGGCTTCCCTCACACTTCCTATCCCCCAGTTAGCTACTGAATTGTCCATGAGATCCGGGGCCCGCATCATCCTTGGGCCATAATAAAGGCCTGAGTTTCCACGTGTCACTTTCCACTCTCCTCTGTCCTGAGGCTTTGTCACATCACGCATACTAGCCTTCGCCTGGGAAAACTAAACTCCCCTGTTCAGCCAGCCAGCTGATGTTTGGGGGCCATAAGAGCAGATTTCTGGGCAATGCATCTGTGATGGGGGTGTTCTAACAGCCTAAAGAAGAGCCAGCCCCCTGGAATTACTGGTGGCTTGTTGGAGCAGATAAAGCAACGAGCTGGTGGGATCTGTCCTCCTTCCAGCTTAGGGTTAGTATAGAGGTGCCCACAGGATTCAAGAGCAGTGACAGCACACGTAGGAGGAAAACTGGTCTGATTTGACTAAAACTTGCCTTTTCTCTCTTAAAGGGGGACCCAGGAAACCCAGTCATGTGCCAGGCTAAGGGAACCGGAGACTGGGTTCTGAATGGAGTGCTGAGTCAGGGCGGCATGAGATGCTATGGACCGTTTCTCTACACCAAAGTGGCCTATTACAGCGACTGGATTTCAGCCACAACAGCTGATGCAGGAGTCCCCGTATATCCCACTTTTGCCAGAGGGCGCTCCGCTTTTCCGCTCTCCGCTTTGCCGGCTGAGGATTTGGAAGGTTCGTTTGAGCCAGCAGAGGTGGTGTTTCAATCCTCAGTCATCTCAGAAGCTGGGTCTGACCACGGCCAACCCAAGCAGCGACCGAAGGACATCAAGCCCGCCCAGGAAGGGCTAGCCAGGGCTCACACCAAGTCTGACCCAGTGTACTATGACTACTACAGTGGGGAAACGCTCCCATTTCTAAGGGGAGCTTACGTCAGCCGCAGATCCTCACAGAAATGAGTGCTATTTTCCTTCTGCTTGGGCTCCTCTTTTACTAGATGAGACACTGTAACCGAGGCAACTGTGTGATTGACTGGCCTCGGGGGCCATTCCCAACACTCTGGGCACCCTCCCCATCCTTTTTCATGCTGGTGACAGTGGCTACGTGGCATGATCCATGTGCACAGTGCTGACACGTCCTCCCCCCACAGCAACCTCCTTGTGTGTTAATCTGTCTCTGCATTTTAGCACCCACTCTGGGCTATTAAACTTTAAACTCCGCCCCCCCCAAACTCTCCTGATTCCTTTTGTCCCAAGGGTCAGTCCAGAGAGGACAGTGACTGTGAACATGTCCAGACACAATCGCCAGATATATTTGAGAGGGAAAGGGAGCTCAGGAGCACAGCTGATTCAGGACTTTGAGAGCCCCGCAAAGAACCCAGGTGACAGAGCCCAGTGGATGCTCCAGCCTCTCCGACAAATGGAACTTGACAAAATAGAGGTGTGCTAACCCAGGTGGTTTTGATTTCTTTATCAATCAGGCTGAAATGGTCCCATCTCTTTTCACAGACCAAGCTGCAGTATAAGGTGTTCTGCATTTCCCCCAGTCGATAGCTTCATTGGTCATGTGGCTGGCTCCAAGCCAAATCTCTCATTGGCCACCTTGCAGGGGGAGACAAAGCTATAGTTGGTTACTAGCCACCTTGACCTTGTTCCAAGCTCTGCGGTAGCTCTGCAAGGACATCTGCAGAAGTGAACATGGAGAAATAGTAAGACCATGGCAAACTGCCACGGAGTATACTGTGCACCCAGGGTGAATATTGTGCACCCAGGGCATTTGAGTAGGAACACTCCTGCAATCTCAGCCTAGCACTGCTTCCCAGGGCTTTCCTTTGAATGCTATGTAGAAAGCATTGAGATCCCACACAGCAGTTTGTACAGGGATCTGAACTTCAGCACTCTGAACCTGAATAACACTGAACTTTGGGGAATGTTGGCTTCAGATCCCAGAGTGGATCTGACCCTTAATATTATTGGTATTACCCTAGTGCCTAGGAACCCCATCCTGAACCAGGAACCAGTGGTGCCAGGTGCTGTACCAACACAGAACAAAAAGCTGGTCCCTGCCCCAAAGACCTTACAATCTAAGAATGCAACTGGGGCCCATCTCTCTGCGTTAATGAACGTTGGGGCGGGGGGGGGAAGGAGGAGTGTTAAGACTGTACCATGAACATAAGAGATTACTAGGAACCTGCCCTAGCAAGTCTGTTTCATCTCACTACTGCATATCTGAATTCACTAACTGTGGGGCAAGGATTGCTTTTCAATACGGAGAACTTACCACTGGGCACTATTGTTTTATTTCTACCCATCTCGCTGCATAACAGGGCATGATCTAAAGCAATAGCTTCAGAATCCTTTTCCTAGCTTGGCCCCAGACTCATCCTGTGTCCTTGGGCAAGTCACAACCTTTCTGTGCTTCAGTTTCTTCATCAGTAAAGTGAGCTGTGACGCTGGCAGACCAAGTACCAGCTCATGCCAAGGCCCAGGGCCTCACTGAACACTGACAAATGCATAGCTGGAAACCAATCTGGTTAGTATAGTTAAAATAGATATCAGTGTTAGACTTTCTGGAATGCTTGTAGGATGCTGCAGGTATTAATCCATCTTACAGTATCTGTCTCCCATGGTATAAAGTTATATTGAGTATTTGCATTGTAACCCTCTCCAGTTGTGTAACTCACCAGACAGGAAGAGAAGCATTAATTAAGGTAAAGTGCTCTTCCTGGACACAAGATGGCCCATTGAAGGCAAATGAGGCACTGTGTATCATCAAAGGACAGGTTTCAGTAGTAGCCGTGTTAGTCTGTATCAGTAAAAAGAACGAGGAATCCTTGTGGCACCTTAGACTAACAAATTTATTTGGACAAGATGTCAGCTGTTGGACATGGACCACATCCACCCTAATTGAATTGGCCTCATTAGCACTGACCTGGTAATGTGGCTGGCCTTTAGGGTCAGAAGAACATTTTGTATAGTGAGAAGAGTTTTTTAAAGAACTCCTCACCTTACTGCACCTAGGTGCTGACTGGGACCCAGAGAACTGGAATGCAAGAAAGGGGGCTCTGTGATTTCTCTTTTTGCTTCTTGATAACCATTGTGGGGATCAGGGGCACAGTGTGTGACTGGTTGGGGAGTTTAACATCAGTGTCACCTACCAGTCTCAGGAGGATCTACTCTCCTTTTTGCAGCCTGCCCTGACCTTGGCATTTCGAGTGAGGGCTGCCCCAGCACCCTGGGTGACAGTGACTATCTATCACATAATCCAGTTTGCCTGGGTGGCAAGATAAACTGGAGAGCCCAAGGGGGCTGTCTGTGACTCCATGGTAAGGCTGTTACAGTGCTTTAGTTCACACTTGTTACTAGGTTGGTGAAATCTAATTATAGAAGATACCACGAATTTGGGGTGTCTGCCCTGCTTTTTGACCATCTGCCCTGAGGTTGGCACTCCCAGTCATCAGCCACTCCAGCCAGCGTGACATAGGGATAATGATTAGTTACTAATAATGAATGCTTGTGAAGTGCTTGGAGCTTGTTACATGAAGATGATCAGAAAGCAGATCCAAAACATTTTCAAACAATCACAAGCGTGGGTGTTTGAAAAGGCCCAAACTGGTTACATCTGCAGAGGTGAGACATTTACATTGCTGCTCTTTTGTATTTTATAGTTGTTTAAAAGGTCAGGATAATAATAACCTGATGATGCTTCCTATTAACTCATTAATAACCAGGTCCTGGCTTAAAACTCCTTAGGTTCCAGTCTCAGAGCTCAATTGTTAGATACACTCTGTCCTCTGAATACATTCAGGCTATGACATGATCGCTGCTTTGTAAACAGGAAGCACGTCGAGTTGTTCAATTATGCTGTAGTTAAAACCACAACTAAAATCGCCCACTCATGCTGCCTGGTTTGTAAAAAGCATCAGACCCCTTCACCATAATCGTATGAATGTGGGTGGGCACAGATAGATGCCCTCTGGAAGTTAAACCCCAGCTGTATACAGGGAAGGACACAGAAACTGACAGACTACAGACTCCGGGAGTTCTTGTCTTACTGTACCTCGGCGATCTCCACCTTCCTCTCCCATATCTTAATATTGTTTTCCAGGTCATCGATGGCCATCTTCTGATTGACGTACTTCACCACTGGGGGCACTCTGTAATCTGAGAGCTGCTGCCGCAGCTGCTTATTCACACCCTTTGCTTTGGTTCGTTCCTGAGAGAGGAAAAGGATCCAGGGCAGGTAGATTAGGTGGGACATTGCTTTCTGCAAAGTGGCAATTTGGAAAAAAAAATCCATCCCCCTAAAACTGAAGGTCAAGCGATTAAGCTGTGCAGAATGCAGCTGCTCTTGGCGTTTCGGTTTCCTATCTGCCAGGGGCACTCCGGAGCTGCTTGAACTCACTGGGCAACTCCCTGGTGCTACAGCCTGGGACAGTGGAGTGGCACAAAACACAGCTGGGGCCCTCCTTCGTGCCTTCCTTGGAGTGGGAAGGGCATTGCCTCTAAAAAGAGGAAGGATATTAAATGCAGGAAGCTATGCCAAAGCTGGGTGTCTAAAGTTAAGGTCCAAACTCCATCCTTCAGCACCTAAAGTGAACTAGTTTTCACAGCACCACTAAATCCTGCTGACTTCAATCAAAGCTGCAGGTACACAGCCTTTTGGGTACCAGGGCGCTTGCCTGCAGGTGCCTGAATGTAAATTTCACAGCATAACTTTAGGCACCCCAGCTTCTAGTATTACAATATACTGTAATGTTGAAATATTCCTTTGCTAATTACATACGTAGTAGACAATTTATGATAATATTATGATCATCTCTTATTTGTATGGGGTCGTGTCTAGGAGCCCTAATTGGAGATCAGGCCCCATTGTGCTAGGCGCTGTACAAGCCCAGCACAAAAAGACAGTCTCTGTCTCAAAGAGCTTCCAATCTAAGTATGTGGCCAAGTTAACAGTGCTTTGAGAATCTTCATTCCCTCATCTCCTGACTTGTGTGTTTTAAAGTCCCTCTCGACTGCTGCGGGAATGAAATGACTCCCATTGCTACACCAGTAAAGGGCAGCTTACAAAGAGCCGTGGCGCCAGATTGCGATCCCGTCAGTATAACTCGAGTAACTCCGCAGAGGTTGATAGAGTTACCAATAGCGCAAAACAAGCGTGTGAGCGGAACTGGGTCGACTGACTTGAATGGCATTACTCCGGCCTTACGTGGAACTGGGATCAAAATTTGGGTGTAATTCAATACCAGCCTCACTTACTAGTCTATGCAGTAATCCAGTGTTAGAAAATCTTAAAAGAAATGGTCTCATAACATGAAATTTCTGGATTAAAAAAACAAGTAAACCCACAATCCCTGTGCTGATTATTTCTGATGTTCCTACTACCTCCTCCACCAGGATGGTTTCCCTTTCCATCTTCTCCAGCGCCTCCTTCCTCTGGGAGATATCTTTCATCAGGCAGGCGGATGCTGCGGTGGCGTTCTGCAGCTTTCTCTGAAACAGCACAATGCGGTAAAGTCAGCGAGCCCAAAGGAGGGGAAGAAGGAGGGCAACGGCTCATCAATGAACACGGAAAGCTAGAGTCCCTTTACTCACTACACCAAGGCTCTCATCAAGCTTTATCTCTGGCTGGCCTTCCGGGACTCTGCTCCCTACTCCTGTTCATCGTAGAATGCATCGATCAACGTGGCATCTCATTTCTGAGTTTCCCTTGTAGATGGCAGCCTCAGGATCTAGCCTTTGTTTCACACAGTCGAGCATGGTGTTACTTGGTAGCCAACACGTCATCAAGGAGCAGTGAGGCAGAGTGGGGCCCGTGTCCTGATATTGCGAGAGGTAGAACTACTGCTCCCCTGCCCTTTCCCAGTGTAGTTTAACAATAACTCGGGGGAAGATTGCCAAAGGAGTAAACCATCCAGAGCCACTGACTGTCGGTGGGAGTTGCTCATGCCTGTGAAAATCTCCCCCTTGGTTTATAAGGTAGGTAGCCATACCCCGGGATCCTAAAATATGCAATGGACTGACAAGCTCTTCATTTTTCCTCCCACAGAGGTGCAGCCAGCTCTGGGGTGGAATGCAGTAACCCTGCTGGAGGCAGGAGTGGAGGGGAAGCGCAGGTGTACTAGAAATGCCTACGGTGTTATTTTGACCAGGATACTATGCCCAATATCCCAACTTTCGCAAAAACTGCCGTGGGCTGGACCTTTAGTGACCACATCCCTCTTTTTTATATTACAGCTGAGAGACACAGTGCCCCAACCTTAGTATTGACTCAGAGGGGAGGATTCCACCTAATGAGTCACCTATGCCACCTGCAGCACCACCTGGATTTTTCTTGAAGATCACCCATCCAAGGACTGGGTAGTCTTAACCCTGCATAACTGATGAGATCACAGCTGCAAGGATATACAAAAGTCTCTAGGTAGGTCAGTGCTAAGGTTACTGCTTACTGCCCTGTGAGACAAAATAACCACACTGCAATGTTTTCAGCTTTGCACCATCACATGTGGATGCCACAAAACACACATCAGAAGGATGTATCAGAACAAACCCTAACAGCCACAGCAAATGTAGGGATCTTTACAGGCAGGCAAATCCATCAACAAAGGAATGGTTCCAAAAATTCCAGGGCAGGTGCCAACTTCCAGCCCCCACCTGCTGGAATGTGTCTTGCAGGCAAGTCAGGCAGCTGTTAACAGGAATAAAAATGCCTCTGATTGAAAGAGATGTCCTGGAAATAGAGAGAGTGTGTGTGTGTGAGAGAAGGACAGTGTTAAGCACCCCCCTCCCTCTCTTACCCTGCAGGAGATAAAGAGAAAAAGAGAATCCAGGAGCCATGGGCTTGACTCACTTTGTAGGAATTGAAGATTTGAAGAGTGTTTCCCACTGTCAATTTTATCTGTAGCAGGTCCCGGTTCCTCTCATCAATCTTCTCCAGAAACTGAGCATTCTCAATCTTCAGCTGCTGGAAATCAACCTCATGGAGTGCCTCGCCCATCTCTTCCTTCTGTAAGCCAGCAAAGACACAGAGGCTGATGATAGAATCATAGACTATCAGGGTTGGAAGGGACCTCAGGAGGTCATCTAGTCCAACCCCCTGCTCAAAGCAGGATCAATTCCTGATCTGAGGCTAAATGCCACATAATAAGGCGTTGCTCTGTCGGGACAGCAAGTTGGGGCGGGGGGTCCTAAAGGCTGGAATCCTCAACCCAACCTGGCCAGGCTGCTAACTCAGGGCATGGGGAGGAGTAGCGGACACAACCTGCTGCTTCCTTCCGAATCTGGGTTGCCGTTCAGTGGATCCATGCAGTGCCTGAACCCAGCACCACTGGCTGTGTTCCTGCGACACCCACACTACCCCTTCCAGGAGGGGCTGCAAAGATCCACCCAAGATCTTCTCCACAGCACAAAAAGGGTGCAAATTCCCACTCTGCAGGAGCTCGGCTGCGGTCACCCTGCACAATCTTCTCACGGGTTTTAAGCTGCTTTGGGGCCTGCCTCAGGCATACAAGGTGCTCTAGGTTGGGGCCTTTTCTCAATAAACTCCGAGATGACTAAAATCTCTCCCAAACACAGGAGTTAAGATGAGACGCAGAGAAGATGCTCAGAAACATGAGACTCCCCGGTCTGGGTGAGCCCCTGAAGTCTCCCTGCCTCCTCTTCAGAGGGCTGCAGCATCACCGGCTCTCTTCAGTCTTTACCCACCTGCTTGAGCTGCAGCTGTAATTTTTTCTTCTGCACTTTGAGGGAATCATTTTTCAAACGCAATTTTTCTTTCATCGCATCCTAAAAAAGACACCGGGATATACGGTCACGGCCCCTGCTCTCTCTCCGTCACTGGCACAGCGGGACCCAACAGGAGAGAGTCCCCGGGTTCCACTTCCTATTGGGACGCTCCCATTCTTCCAAGCCACAGCACTTTCTCACTGGCCAGAGAAGGAGGGGAGGCAGCATCCCCAAGAGGCTCTTGTTCATGCCCCTCTATATAAATCAGTCAGTAAGAAATGCTCTGACAGCAACCCGGACAGCACCTTGCCCCAAATCCCACCTACATCAGCCGTGCAACTCCTCCAACCTCTACTAGGCTGTGCATAGGTGAGCCCTGCAGTCATGCGTGTGCCAAAGCTCCTGTGTCTTGGCTGGAGGACAGGTCATTGGTGAGCCACCAAGCTGGCTCCTAATGCACTACTGCAGGAGTCGGCAACCTTTCAGAAGCGGTGTGGGGAGTCTTCATTTATTCACTCTAACTGAAGGGTTCGCGTGCCACTCATACATGTTAACGTTTTTTAGAAGGTCTCTTTCTATAAGTCTATATTTTCGATAACGAAACTATTGTCGTATGTAAAGTAAACAAGGTTTTCAAAATGTTTAAGAAGCTTCTTTTAAAATTAAATTAAAATGCTGATCTCATGCCGCTGGCCTGCTCAGCCCGCCGCTGGCCTGGGGTTCCGTTCACCTAGGCCGGCAGCAAGCTGAGCGGGGCCTGGGGCCGGGACCCTGGCTGGCAAGGGGCCAGCAACCAGAACCCCAGACCGGCAGCGGGCTGAGCGGGGCCTGCGGCCGGGACCCCGGCTGGCAAGGGGCCGGCAGCCAGAACCCCAGACCGGCAGCAGGCTGAGCGGGGCCGGCGGCCAGGACCCCAGACCGGCAGTGGGCTGAGCAGCTCAGCCCGCTGCCAGCCTGGGGTTCAGTCCACCGGCTCCTGCCAGCCAGGGTTCCGGCTGCCAGCCCTGCTCAGTCCACTGCCGGTCTGGGATCCCGGCCCTTCCCACATAGAGTGGGTACCTACCTTCTCCCTGGTTCTCGCCCCTTCTCTTCCTCTCTCTCAGCGCTGAGGGTGGGAGTGTACTGAGCACAGGGCTGGGGGTGAAGGAGCAGGCTGGGGGTTGGGGTGTAGGGTCTGGCCAGGAGCTAGAATGAGGGAGGGGGCTTAGGGTTGGGTTGTGGAGTGCTTACCTGGGCAGCTCCCATTTGGTGCGAGGGGTGCAGGTGGGAAGGTGCGGGGAGGTGCAGGAGCTCCCGTTTGGTGCTCAGGGTGGGGGTGGGAATGTAGGGGGTGCAAGAGTTAGGACATGGGGTGTGAGGGGGCTGGGTATATGTGGGTGGTGCAGGAGTCAGGGCAGGGGGCTGGGGGCATGTGAGGGGGTGCAGAAGTCAACGCATGGGGTGTGGGGGGACTGGGTATGTGTGGGGGGTACTGGAGTCAGGGCTCGGGTCGTAAGGGGTGCAGGGGTCAGGGCAGGAGGCTGGGGTGTGTGGGGGATGCAGGGGTCAGGGCAGAGGGCTGGGTGTGTGTGAGGGGGTGCAGGGGTCAGGGCAGAGGGCTGGGGCGTGTGTGAGGGGGTGCAGGGGTCAGGGAAGAGGGCTGGGGTGTGTGTGAGGGGGGGTGCAAGGGTCAGGGCCGGGGGCTGGGGTATGTGGGGGGAGGTACAGGGGTCAAGGCAGAGGGCTGAGGGTGTGGGCTGGGATCGTGGGGGTGCTCCCAGCCCCCTGCCCAGAGTGGCTCACAGCAGGGGGCTTGAGGGGATATGCCCTGATTCCAGCCCCCTTCCCCAAGGTCCCGTCCCCACCTCTCCTCCGCCTTCTCCTGGGAGCAGCGAGCGCGCTCCGCTTCTCTCCCTCCCTCGAAAGGGCCATCAGCTGATCCTGAGCAGGGAGGGAGGGAGAGGAGGAGGGGCAGGAACCCAGCACGCTGGGGGGAGAGGCAGGGGAGGGGGAACTTGCCTGCCCTGCAGCAGCAGCCGGCAGGGCCAAGCTTCTTCACCCTGCCCTGGGGGAGGAGAAGAGTGGCCGGGGCGGGCAGGATTTTTAATGGCTCGCTGCTGCCTGCTGGGGTCCCGGCCTGGGGTTCGGCAGCAGGCTGAGCGGGGCCGGTGGCTGGGACCTGGCAGGCAGCAGTGTGCCATTAAAAATCGGCTCGCGTGCCGTCTTTGGCACACGTGCCAAAGGTTGCCGACCCCTGCACTACTGTAACAGTGAATTGTTTTACCCACGAAAGCTTATGCCCAAATAAATCTGTTAGTCTTTAAGGTGCCACCAGACTCCTTATTGTTTTTAAGGTAAAGCGAGATATCCAAACAGACTTGCCAAGGTAGGTCTACCTATGGCCCAAAACGTGGCAGAGATTACTCATGGATCAGGATTTTGTCTAAACTGTTTAGCCTGGTATATGATAAATGTATAAATACACAACTCTGAACTGACCCTGTAGTGGTTCTTCTCCTCAAGGTATCTCAGCACCTTCTCAGTTGCTGTGACACTCCCTTTCTTCTTGGATATTGTTTGGATAATGTCTTTGTTAAAGTTGCACATGGCTTTCTTAATATCAGCCCACCGAATAGCTGCTTCTTCCATGACAGCCTGTAGAATGGAAGTCACATTATAGTAAAGAGATGTCATCTCCCATTCATTTTTTGGGCCTTGGGGTGGAGAACAACATATAGGAATGGTGGGACAAGTTCTCTGTTGGCATAAATCCATTAACGTCAGTGAATTCTGCCCTATTTGCCCTGTGGCAGTGATGTTTTGGTAATAATATCAATCTCTCATTCATTGAAGAACAAGAAAAGCAAAACATCTACCGTAGTTGAGTTTCAGGATTAATCAGTTCTGCCTTGACTTGCAAATATCTCCAGATCTACCAAGTCTGAAGGAAAGGTTGTGTTCAAAACACTATTTTTGATTAGAACATATGGATGTTCAGGATGAGACAGTTAGGTTCTAACCATTTAGCCTAATCAAAGGGTTCTATTTCACTCTCCCAACACAGAAGTGGGTGGGAGGAAAGAAAAGAAATATGTCTTTATAGTATAGAAGAAACCCTTCAAAATTGATTTGTGTTGATGTTCTGGATTAGGAATCCAGGCAGCACTGCCATTTAAAGACCTCTTTGCAATTTTTAGGGACCTCAAAAAACAAACCCTTGTTGGGTGAAGGGGCACATGGATCGGCAGATCTAACACTCATGGTGCTGTATCAAGCAAACCTGCCTACTCAGTTAAGCAAAGGTGATTCTTTAAAATCCCAACATTTCCTCCCTGAACTACAAGGTGTAGTAAGTAAGCAACTCCTGGCATAGATTCTGAGATGAATCTCAGTTATGCCACTGTAAAAATCAGAGTATCTGCATTGATTTAAATGGTGTTACTCTGGTATCACATCAGTGTGAAATAAAAAAAAGAAAAGATGAACATGGGGGTGTAGGGTGTTCCCCCCGAGCTACAGAGGCGTCTCACTCACTACACTAGGGATTCTACAGCTCATGGAAGGCTGTACCTGGTAGTTTTGTATAATCCGTTCAGAATCCCCCTTGGTCTTCTGAATTTCTTCCTTCATCTCATCCAGCTCCCGCTGCGCTAGATCATTCTTCTGTTGCACTGTCAGGCCTATAAAACGATCTGCTGCAGCGCGGGATTTAGATTTACGTCTAGGACGTGTCTGCAATCCGGAGAAACAAAGAACTGAAGGAGCAAGTAGATAGCAACAGGACCCATTCAAAGTGGTTGCCATTAAAAAGTCAATGTTTGCCAACGGTACTGTATTACCAGCAGGAGAGTGGGGTGGGAGGAGGTATTGTTTCATGGTCTCTGTGTATATAATGTCTTCTGCAGTTTCCATAGTATGCATCCGATGAAGTGAGCTGTAGCTCACGAAAGCTTATGCTCAAATAAATTGGTTAGTCTCTAAGGTGCCACAAGTACTCCTTTTCTTTTTGTATTTTTCCTGTACTTAGAATAGGAAATAACCACAGTGACTGTGAGGGATCTGTAGACACATGATGGGCCTGATTCTCATTTACACTTAGGGTATGTCTTCACTGCAGGCACTTACCCACATGTTGCTCCAACTCCCTTCCCGTACACACACAAAACTCTCTTACCCAAGTTGGGTGGTGCTTTCAACCTGGGCTAGTAGGCTAAAGTTTGAGCGAGGCTTTCACGTGAGCAAGTAATGCACCCACTTGGCAGTGATGATGCAAACTAAATCCCTTGGGTGCTGATACTCCTTCAATGTCTTCCCACAATTCCCAGGTATCCAGAAGAACAGACAAGTTCTCCCGCAGTTCACTGGGAAAGACTCACAGAGCAGCTCAGTGCTCTGCAGCACAAAGACCCATTGGATGTGCCCCCAGAAGTCCCAGCAACATACAGGTGGGTGCAGAACAAGTGAGGACCCAGTAACTTGGGCAGGGCTCTGCAGTGTGACTGCTCAGCCCTGGGCTACCCTAACCCAGCTCCCAATCATCTGAGTTAACTCTGCATTGAAGCCAGACTCACAGTGGCAGCATAAAGGGGCCTTAAAAAGGGTGCAAATTAGCAATGTAAAGTGGCTTTAGTGTAACTGTGAATCAGGCTTGTAGATTGTTTAGTAGTGGTGTCCATTTGTAGCAGCCCCTTTTGGGCTGTTCTGATTGCTGTTTAAACTCCACTCCATCTGGGAGGTGCCAAAGAGGCTACCCCAGTCTCAGCTCGAGGCTTGGGGACAGTGCAATATGCCACCATGAAGGAGACCAGGGTGAGGAGTGCCTACAGAGGTCCCACTCCTTGAGCAACTGCTGAGAAGGTGAAACTCAAACTCAGGGGCTGCCCAGCTCATTGATCACAGGCCACAGTGGCAAGGAAGCAGAAAGGAAAGTGCTAGCTGGAGCACAAGAGGGAGAGTCTGGGAGATGTGGGTCCTGTCACAGATTTGATGTGTGGCCTCAGACAAGTCTCTTAATCTCGTTGTGCCTCAGTTTCCTGATTTGTGAAATTGTGGATAAGCCTACCTTACAGAAATTCATTAGTGCTTATAAAGTACTTTCAGATCTCTGGCAGGTGCCGTGAAGGGCAAAGTGTTATCGTATAAGACAGGGGTGGCCAACCTGAGCCTGAGAAGGAGCCAGAATTTACCAATGGACATTGCCAAAGAGCCACAGTAATACGTCAGCAGCCCCCCATCAGCTCCCCCGCTCCCAATGTCTCCCACCCACCAGCAGCCCCGCCGATCAGTGCCTCCCCCTCCCTCCCCGCACCTCCCGATCAGCTGTTTCATGGTGTGCAGGAGGCTCTGGGGCGGGGGAGGGAGAAGAGCGAGGGCATGGCAGGCTAAGGGGAGGGGGCGGGAAGGGGTGGTGTGGGGGCAGGGCCTGTGGCAGAGCCAGAGGTTGAGCAGTGAGCACCCCCCAGCATACTGGAAAGTTGGCACCTGGAGCTCCAGCCCCAGAGTCGGTGCCTGGACAAGGAGCCGCATATTAACTTCTGAAGAGCCGCATGTGGCTCCGGAGCCCCAGGTTGGCAACGCTGGTATAAGAGAAAAGAATAGCGTCTCTGGGGTGAATGGTAAACTGAAAACTGGATTGGTCTTCAGACTGAATCAGCTGCAGCAAGGAACAGCGCAAACCCTGATGCCTGCTAGAGCAGCGGCATCTCACCTCGAGTATGTAGTTAATTTCCTTCTAAGACATCCAAGCACTGTGGCTGTAAGGGAGAGATGTTGCATGGTAAACATCACTTTCCTGCTCCACTCGCTTCTTTTCCAGTATTCCAGGGTACATTTCAAACTGGGTGAGATGCAAAGGGAAGCCCATTGGATGTGTTTATGGGTGACTGCTCCCCTTGTACCTCTTCTCACGCAAGCATTAAATGAGAATCGCAGCGAGAGAGAGGCGGCTGGGTAATCAGAGTCATGTTGACAGGGCGACCCAGAAATACTGCATTGCAAACACGAACTGTCGCTCTGTAACGTACCTGCCCCATGTCCAGCGAGGAGCCGTGTACACTTGGCAGCAAATGGCTGACCAGATCCTTTGACTCCATCTTATTGTAGTATTTTTCAAACATTTCTGTCTCGACTTTGAGAATGGAGAGGGCATGACTGCAAGGAGGCAGAGGTTGGAATGAGCAAGCTCTGACTTTCAGGTATAAGAGATGATAGAGCATATGGTCAGTGTATGAAACCAGAGGGGAAACATAAGGCTCATAGTGGTGAAAATTTTAGGTGGGGCACCATAAATATCCATAGATGCACACAAATTACTTGACGCTCCTCTTGATGCAATAGTGGGGTAAATGAAAGAATCAGGCCCATGCTCATTAAAGCCCCAATCCCGTTCAAACTGAAATCCCTGGGAGGTTTGCTATGGATGTCAATGGGAACTCAGGCTCTAGGAGAAGGGGACTTTGAAAGCACCCCTTCAAATCTTCTGTTGGGGCAGCTGGGGCTGATCTTTCATGCACAGGGATCCCTGCTGGTAGTCCTGATCCCAGTAAGGAGTTCCTGATTGGAACAAGCAGCACCCCACTGGGGAACTGTCTCCAGCTAGTAAATCAGCAGTTGTGAGTGACACACACAATCAGGGTGTAGATAAAGCAACTTTACTCTGATCTTATTTTGTCATGTTTCTGATTGGGGCCAAGCCAAGAACTCCCCCTGGGCTCCTGTCAATTATCAGAAAACCCACCAGACTTAAAAGCTTTCTGATTGCATAGAAGGCTCACACCTTTCTGAGGGGGCCGTGCTGACTCCACAGAATTAACCACTCAGTAACCCCCAAACCCCATGTGATCCATGACTTTTGTACAGCTCCACCCACCCACATCCCTGGTATATTTCCTCTCTGTTATATTTGCTCCATCATTTTATTTCCAGCGACTGACAGATGGAATCATCTACTGGGAACTCATTATAAAGGGAAGAAAATGTTTAGCAGATGGTTCCTGAACAGTCTGGAATGATGGCCCTTGCTCACAAATACGCACAAGATGCCTCCTTTACTATCAAATATATCACAATGCTTCACCCTTCATCGGGGGACAGACACCAAAAGGCATATGGGTGGAAGCAGCTTCAAGCCTTGCACTAATCTACATGGAAAACATAACCCCAACCCCGCTCTCTTGTCAGGGATGGAGGGCATTAAACCCAGCTGAGGGGGAAGGGAGCATGTTATAATTTATCTTTCTTGTGTACAGAGGACGGGGTTTTCAAACAGTCCTGCATGTAAGGGCCATAGGGAAGGTATTGCTTCAGCATGCCCTGATTATAAAGACTGGGGGAGATTATATCTGAGCACCATCACCCTCCGTGGAATGGGTGTGTGCTGTGCCCAGCCCCCCATGTGGGATCGGGGCATTATGGACCCTCCATGGGGTGGGGGTGTGCTGTGCCCAGCTCCCCATGTGGGATCGGGGCATTATGGACCCTCCATGGGGTGGGGGTCTGCTGTGCCCAGCTCACCCATGTGGGATTGGGGGCATTATGGACCCTCCAGGGAGTGGGGTGTGCTGTGACCAGCCCCCCATGTGGGATTGGGGCATTATAGACCCTCCATGGGGTAGGGGTGTGCTGTGCCTAGCCCCCATGTGGGATTGGGGCATTATGGACCCTCCATGGGGTGGGGGTGTGCTGTGCCCAGCCCCCCATGTGGGATCGGGGCATTATGGACCCTCCAGGGAGTGGGGGTGCGCTGTGCCCAGCCCCATGTGGGATCGGGGCATTATGGACCCCACACGAGAGCTGGGGGGCGCTGTGCCCAGCCTCCCATGTGGGATCGGGGCATTATGGACCCTCCATGGGGTGGGGGTGCGCTGTGCCCAGCCCCCATGTGGGATTGGGGCATTATAGACCCTCCATGGGGTGGGGGTGTGCTGTGACCAGCCCCCCATGTGGGATTGGGGCATTATGGACCCTCCATGGGGTAGGGGTGCGCTGTGCCCAGCCCCCCATGTGGGATCGGGGCATTATAGACCCTCCATGGGGTGGGGGTGCGCTGTGCCCAGCCCCCATGTGGGATTGGGGCATTATGGACCCTCCAGCCCCGTCCCGTACCAGGTCTCCTGCACCAGGGCCTCCAGCTGGGGCAGGGGCAGGGCTGCGAGCTCCTGGGACTCCGCGGTGCGGACGCTCTCCGAGTCCTCGTCCGCCATCGCTCCCCGGGGTTACCATGGCAGCGGGAGGCGGTGGCTCCGCGCTCCCCGCCCCGGCCGCCCGGGCTCTGGGCGCCCTGCTGCCCCCACCCCCCCGCCTGGCTGCCCCCTTTGCCCCCCCTCCGCGGCCGGCTGCTGCCCCCATGCCCCCCCGCCCAGCCCTGCTTCTCCCTGTGCCCCCCTGAGTCCTGATATCCCCCGAGGCCTGCTCCCCCACCCCCAGCCTTGCTGCCCCCCTCCCCGGCTCCCCCTCCTGCCCCCTTTGTCCCCCCCCCGCTGCTGGCTGCTGCCCCCTTGCCCGCCCAGCCCTGCTTCTCCCTGTGCCCCCCTGAGTCCTGATATCCCCGAGACCTGCTCCCCCCGCCCCCAGCCTTGCTGCCCCCCTCCCCGGCTCCCCCTCCTGCCCCCTTTGTCCCCCCCCCGCTGCTGGCTGCTGCCCCCTTGCCCGCCCAGCCCTGCTTCTCCCTGTGCCCCCCTGAGTCCTGATATCCCCCGAGACCTGCTCCCCCCGCCCCCAGCCTTGCTGCCCCCCTCCCCGGCTCCCCCTCCTGCCCCCTTTGTCCTCCCCCCCGCTGCCGGCTGCTGCCCCCTTGCCCTCCCAGCCCTGCTTCTCCCTGTGCCCCCCTGAGTCCTGATATCCCCCGAGGCCTGCTCCCCCCACCCCCAGCCTTTCTGCCCCCCTCCCCGGCTCCCCATCCTGCCCCCTTTTTCCCCCCCTGCTGTCGGCTGCTGCCCCCGTACCCTCCCAGCCCTGCTTCTCCCTGTGCCCCCCTGAGTCCTGATATCCCCCGAGGCCTGCTCCCCCACCCCCAGCCTTGCTGCCCCCCTCCCCCGGCTCCCCCTCCTGCCCCCTTTGTCCCCCCCCCCCCCCGCTGCCGACTGCTGCCCCCGTGCCCCCCTAGCCTTGCTTCTCCCTGTGCCCCCCTGAGTCCTGATATCCCCCGAGGCCTGCTCCCCCCGCCCCCAGCCTTGCTGCCCCCCTGCCTGGCTCCCCCTCCTGCCACTTTTGTCCCCCCCCCCCCCCCGCTGCTGGCTGCTGCCCCCGTGCCCCCCCCAGCCTTGCTTCTCCCTGTGCCCCCCTGAGTCCTGATATCCCCTGAGACCTGCTCCCACCCGCCCCCAGCCTTGCTGCCCCCCTCCCCGGCTCCCCCTGCTGCCCCCTTTGCTTCCCCGCGGTCGGCTACTGCCCCCGTGCCCCCCCAGCCCTACTTTTCCCTGTGCCCCCCTGAGTCCTGGTATCCGCTGAGACCTGCTCTTTCTGCCCCCAGCCTTGCTACCCCCCTTCCCGGGCCTCCCCGAGCCCTGCTGCCTCCTGCCCTCCCCAGCAGGCTGATGAATGCCGTCTCTGGAGGGTATGAGGAAGCTGAAAGGTCTTTCTGAAACACAAGATGTGCAGGGGAATGCAAAATCTTTCCCCTGAAACCCACCTTTACACGCCCTGGCGAGAGACCCTTTGTATACTAACCCCCTTCTGGAAACTCTGGTTCAAAGACCCCAGATCTGTATCAAAAGGGAACTGAGCATGTTACCAGAGTGCTTGTTTGGAGCTGACCCACCAGGGTGAGGTATGAAAAGACTGCATTTGCTAAAGTCCATGTGAGGATGAACTCTGGCATGCTTAGAAGCATGCATGTGGGTTCCTGTCATAACTATAAAGGGAAGGGTAACCACCTTTCTGTATACAGTGCAATAAAGTCCCTCCTGGCCAGAGGCAAAGTCCTTTTACCTGTAAAGGGTTAAGAAGCTCAGGTAACCTGGCTGGCACCTGACCCAAAATGACCAATGAGGGGACAAGATAGTTTCAAATCTGGAGGGGAGGAAAAGGCTTTTGACTGTGTGATATCTTTGCTGGGAACAGATCAAGGATGCAAGCCCTCCAACTCCTGTAAAGTTAGTAAGTAATCTAGCTAGAAAATGTATTAGGTTTTCTTTATTTTGGCTTGTGAAATTCGCTGTGCTGGAGGAAATGTGTATCCCTGTTTTTGTGTCTTTTTGTAACTTAAGGTTTTGCCTAGAGGGATTCTCTATGTTTTGAATCTGACTGCCTGTAAGATTATCTTCCATTCTGCTCTTACAGAGTTATTCTCTTTTTTTTTTTGTTCTTCTAATAAAGTTCTGTTTTTTAAGAATCTGACTGGGTTTTTTGGGTCTTAAAAATCCAAGGCTGGTCTGTGCTCATCTTCTCAAGCCCCCCCAGGAAAGGGGGTCTAAGAGCTTGGGTGGATATTTTGGGGAATTAGGAACTCCAAGTGGTCCTTTCCCTGAATATTTTGTTAAATCACTTGGTGGTGGCAGCGTTTACCTAATCTAAGGGTAAAGACTTTGTGCCTTGGAGAAGTTTTAACCTAAACTGATAGAAATAAGCTTAGGAAGTCTTTCATGCAGGTCCCCACATCTGTACCCTAGAGTTCAGAGTGGGGAAGGAAACCTGACAGTTCCTTTATTGTGTGTAATTGGTTTTCTTTGTAATGCTTTGTACCTTAAGAACAAAGCCAGCTTGCTTACACAGATCTGTATTAACTTATGTCTTATCTGTCTCTGAAGTGAAAACTTGAAGGTGTGCCAGGGCAGTCTATCCGTGCGGGGAAGGCGGGGAACTGTCCAGGCTGGGAATACCTCGTCAGAAGGGAGAGAGATGAGATCTCCACTCAGGAGAGGTAACAGCTGAGGTGCTGAAAGCCAACAGCTGAACCACTGAGCAGAAAAACAGGTGTAGTTGTCTGGAACTGTGACAAAATCCTCCAATATTGTAATACAGATCAAATCACAGGAGGTTTTGGGGAGTGGGAAATATCGGTCCCGTAGGATTTTCTCAAGGTCACCAAAATCTCAGGCAGCAATGATCATTTTAAAGGCAGTGTCATCCAGGGGATAGGGTACTGGGCTGGATCTAGGGGTATCTTTGTTCCAATTAAACCTTAAATTATTAAAAGTGAAGATTTGAAAAGTCCTATGTATTTGTCACTATTAACGCTTTGTTCGTTTTTGAAAGTGCTTGAATAAGGAAAATCAGTGAAGTCAGTTTCACTCAGATTCTTAGTCTTTGGGTTTCAGACACAGCAAGGGAATGTGTGCTGAAACGTGGGACCTGTCACCCTCCCCCAATCCTTGCAGATCCATCAGTGCCGAGGCTCTGAAACTCTGAGCCTCCCCTGCTGTTCCAGATAGTGTTGCCATTTTTTGAAAACCTGTGTGTGCCTGGAGCTGGGAAGATGGCAATACCCCAGCCCTGTCCCAACTAATCTCCAGCCCCTTCTCCAACAAAGTATTTTGTGTAAGGGTTTTTTGGGGGGCGGGGGGGAATGGTGCTGGAACACACCTTCTGTCTCCTCCACATTGGAATGGGGAGATTTGGATGTGAAAGGTCCCTATTGCACATAAGTTGGGGAGATGATCCCACCCTCGCAATGGAAAGCAGCAGCCAAGTTCACCGCGCAGTGTACAACAGGGGTAGAGGCAACTTTGAAGGCCAGATTTTCAGTGAACAGAGACTCACTTGCAAATACCCAGGTGTGGCTTCTTAGAATTAACACTGGCATGTGTTTCATAATCCTGTAAGTGGAGTTTAATGGAGATCTCTAGGTTCTATTTATTTTAGGGTCACATCTGCTCATGCATTTGATACTTCCAGAAACTCCCATATTAAATGTTTTCCTTTAACTTGTTTTAGCATTGTCTAAAACCTCTGATTTGATCAGTGCCTTTGTAACAGCCCAGCTGGGATAGCTGCAGATCTGATTTACTGCCTGAGCTGAGGGGTCAGGTTCATTAACTTGGAGGCAATAGCAACCTCATAGACCTCTTTATGTGGCCCACCCACGAGAAGGGCACAAAGACCCACTTTATACCTGAAATCCACTTTGTGAGTGCAGTTGCAGTATGTATGCACACAACTGCACGTGTATTGATATGTGTGGACCTTGGATCTCTTTGTTTCAGACTATGGAGCTGATGTTTATTATGATACCATTGCATCCAGTAGTAAAATTAAGGTAAATTGTCAAAGCCCAATTCTGCAACCAGTTCCTCTTGAGTGTATGCCTACTGCCAGGAGTAATGGGTTTATGCATAAGAATAACTGTGTGCAGGAGTAGGCTCTAAGGCCCAGATCCTCAAAGATATTGAGGTGCCTAGCTCCCAATGATTTAGGTGCCTAACTACCTTTGAAGATCTGGGCCTGTGTCTCACCACTGTGATATCACTGAATCAAATTCAGACTTGGGGTAAGCAGGTGCAAGGCCTTTTGCTGCAGTCTGTTGAGAAGGAGGACAGTGGCAGCACCAACAATGTGTTTGCAAACTCAGTGTAAATAGACATCGCTGTCCTTTGCATGTAGCACAGGGACAAATTCATCCAACCCTACTGGAGTTGGGATACATGGTGTTAACCTATTCATATAACTACTGTGGGATCAGTACAGTGGCAACATTCTCCCTATTTCTGGTCTGTTGCTAAAACTTGATTTATTATGATCACATCATGTTTGCAGAGGAACCGAGCAAGGATATTGCATATTCACATAATGGCCAGAATATGTCAAACCCCATGTACAAAACAGTTCTTAGGAATAATCAGATCTGAGCCTTCAGCAAAGAAACAAGCTCTGTGGCCTCATTACCATTCCAGCAAGATGGCCACCTACTTGTGGTCTTATATCACTTATAGAGACTGGCTATGAACGTAACAAAGCATTATAAGATATGCTTTTTATAAAATGGTTCTGGGAGTGTGTGTGTGTGTGTCTATAAACATACAAAACAATTACATTAAAAGTACATTAAGGTTGCAAAAATCAAACACTCAGAAATTAGGAAATGCCACAATTAAGATGCCTATGGAACCTTAATTTGTCCCTCTTGTCTTTAATTAATGATCACATGCTATTTTTCAGCAGGAACCCTACCTGATTCACTGCACAGGATGGACAGTGCTCAATTAATGAGCAGCAATTCTATATTTTGTTTTATCCTCATTGTTCAGTGTGTGGTCCTATGCCTTATTTACTGCACACTATTCAAACTATGCAGA